ACACTGTAACTAGGACTGCGCCTTGCTGCTTGGCTCTGGGGTGATTGCCCCCATATGCCTGTTGTCAGATCTCAGCGGGGACTTGCATGGGGCCTGCAGGCTCCATTGTGTGGGTCTGTGTACTTGGGGCACAGGGCGGTGGAGGGGTGGATGGTGATGTGACGGGGTGGGACGGGTGTTGGGGGGAGCCATTTGTCAAACCTCACTGGGCGTCCGTGTTCCTGATTCCCTGGGCTGGGCTCAGCCACAGATCATTGTCCTCCTGATGGGCTCTGACTGACAGTTACAGCAACCTGGTCCCCATAGCAACAGCTGTGACATCACCAGAAACCCAGGGACCCTTTAGCAAAGGAAGCATGAATGCATGTTTGGGAGAAGAAAGAGCGTGGCCCAGAAATGGGTGGCAGCCCAGGTCTCCACTTGGAAGCTCCAGGTTTACCTGTGAGATGCAAAGTGCAGCTTCTCTGAAGGATTGAGGGGGCCTAAATAAAAACTCTTTCACCTTTTCTCCCCTTTCTCCCTGTGCCTTAAAAACTGTATTTCCATTTCCTCAGCTGCAAATGGGGACATCGGAAGCCACTCATTTCTGAGTGCTTATTCCATGCCACATCTTTGCTTACTTCAGAGCTGCCCAATACAGCACATTTTCTCTGTCTATTCTTCCTTTTACAGTGGAAGAAAAGGAAGCAGAGCAGAAGGACTGGAAGGAAGGCAGCCTGGCGCCTGAGCCTGATTTCCTTACTACTTGGGAATTGCACCAGATTCTCTATCCATGGCTTCCCGTGCGTGGCACACCTCTATTTCCAGCCAGGCTGTATCACTTGGTGCCAGGTGGGCCTCAGCTGCCTGCGCATCCCGGCACACGCAGCCTCTGCCAGCAGGAGGGCTCTGTTTTCTACCCCGGTTGTTTGCTGGCAGAAGCCTGCTCAGCATGAGGACTTGTGGAGGGAAGCCGGTTCTGCTGGGCCAGCCTCAACCAATGCAGCGTGGGAGCTGGCAATGAATGTCCCTGGCGAACAAGAGAGACTTCCTCTGAACATTGCTCAGTGGGCCCTGGAGCAGGAGCCCCCAGTTACCCATGGCAGTGTCCTGACATGTTCACTTCTCTGGTTTCCTCTGTTTCCACTCCTGATGGCCCCTCATTCTGTCCCCTGGGGTAATCTTGCAGCAGAACTGGCCCCAGAGCAGTCCTGGGGGCAATGCCACATGGTAGCATTCAGAATTGGATCCATGGTGAGGTGGAAAGGACCCTGTTGTCATGGATGGTGACAACCCCTGGCATACTGAACAATAGGGAGGTTAAGACTGTCACCTGCGTTGTCCTGAGCTGAGGCTGAGGTGGATGGTGGGGTCCTAGCATTTGAACAGAAGGGCTGTGGGGTGGGAGCTGCTTTTGCAGCCCAAAAGAGAGAAAATAACAGGCTGCAGTGGGGGCACTGTGGATGCAGGCCCCACAGTGGAGACCCATGGACGGACTGATATTAAGACTCATAGCAAAGGCTCCAGCTTGGGAGCAAGTTTTCAGAAACAGCTCAGGGCCACCCAGATTAAGCGTAAATCTCTCCAGCCACTTCCTGGTACTTGAACTGTTAAGATGCCAGCACCCTGGTTAGCTCTGATGACCAACCCTACAGATCTCTGCTCTCCTCTCTCTAGCTCTTCCCTTCTGGAACCAGGTGCAGGTAGGGCTGGACTGGTCCAGCTCCAGGAAGAACCCACTCAAGCTGGTTTAGCAAATGAAGGAGGTCTTATGTATGAGGCCCTGTAGTGGCTTCCAGCTTCCCCGGCCTGGGCTGGGATGGGAGGACAGGTCTGGGACGGCTGTGTCTCCCTTCTCAGATCAGCTCCTGTTGGCTTCATCCCTCTTTCTCTGAGAAGTAGCACCTGCCATTCCTCAGCGGCCATAGCCGCCCGGAACTGCTGTGTCAACTCTCTGCTCCAGCCCAGCCACAGGAGACCAACAGCTGCGCCATTTCTCTCCTTCCCTCCAAGTTCATGTTGTTCTTGAACAAAGAGGTGATTGGTCAGATTGGGTCACGTATCCAGCTGGAGTCCAATCACCCATGACTAGGGTGGGGCCAGGCAGGTTAGGACCACCCCTCCTTGATAGTCACTATAAGCACAGGGGTCTTTGGCTAAGGCCCTGCAAACGCCTGCAAGAAGCGACATGACCGAGGTGCATCCTCTTCCATCTTCTCCCCACTCTGGTCAAAGTTCTCCACAAAGAACATTTTTAAAATAGTCAACCAGTCATAGGTCTTGAGAAATCCAGAAGTCTTTAGACAAAGCCTTATTCTAAAATATGCAATTAGCAATATTATTTTCTTTTTATTAGCTGTCATTTATTGGGTCTTTCCATATTCCAAGCATAAAGCAGATTTATGGGAGGGTGAGCTTGGGACTCCAGGTCAAGGAAGATTTGAGAGAGGAAGGAAATCTGCCTTGGGAAGAGGTCCCTCTGCACACAGCTGGGTGGTGGCCCAGGTGGCTGCAGAGTGGGCAGATGTCTGACAGGTCCTCATTCCATGGACCTCATTTCCTGTTGCACCCTGGAACCCAGAACGTTACAGAACAGCTGTGGCTGTTCCCCACACTCACACTGAATTGATGTGAAATAGTAATTAAAGGTGACCCAGTGCAGGAGCAAAGGCATTTGAGCTGCAACGTAAGTTCCAAGTCCTCCCAAAGACCTGTATTTGTAGGTGGGATTTCTCTCCATCTGGAGCCTCCCAAGTCAGGAGTAACAAGGGTTACTCTTCCTCCTTTCCAGTTGAAGAACCAAAGCACAGAGAGGTGAAGCAAGTTGCCCGAGGTCACACAGCAAGTAGAGGCTCAAATTCAATATTCTTTACTGCAAATCCTGGGATCCCAGGAGGAGAGGATTTGAATCACACCTGGGACAGGCTTCCAGTGTCTAAAAGAAGCCATGCAATGCAAAAACACTGACATTTAGAGGCAGAGGGGAGTGTTTTGGAGCCACATGGACCTGGCTTTGAATTCTGGCTTTCCTATGTGATCTTGGGAAAGTCACCTTCTCTGCGAGGACAATGCCAAGGCTTCCAGGATCCTTGTGGGAAAGGAGCTGTCAGTGCATCTTCTGCTTGCAGAGAGCAAGCCCTCAACAAATGGTAGCTATTTATTATCATCACAAGCCACTTAGAATCTGAGCCTCAGTTTTCCAGCTGCAAAGTGGGGTTAACCCCACTTCCTACACAGGGTTGTTGGGAAGATAAACGAACCATCGTGCCCAAGTCCTGTCCCAGTGCCTGGCTTAACACATGTTCGTTCCTTTCCCAGGCATCCTCCCTCTGTTAAAGTTACACTTACTTTTAGCGTAAATGACACACTGGCCTAAGAAAAGCACTACTTGTGAACTGGAGTGCACAAGTGCAACTGGAGGAGCCGGAGGTGCTCCCTCTCCCACCTGGGGAGACAGCTTCCACAGACTGCAGTAACCCTGTCCTGTGCATGCCTGTGTGAGGCCAGGGGCCTGGTGCACTGGAGGGACCCCCCCACTGCATCCAGCTTCCCGGATCTTCCCCTGGGGGAAGTGGGGAGCTGGAGATAGGGTTAATGAACTATAGGGGCATTGTGTAGCTGGAGGGCTGAGGGCTGGGGGCTTCTGCAAGGAGATCTTTCTGGTGGGGCTGGCTCAGGGGAAGGCAGAATGTGCCAGGCGCAGGCAGGAATGACATTCCAAAGTCCGAGTCATGGACTAAGTCCTTTTGAAAAGAGCAAACCACAAATTACTGAGCACTTATTACATCCCAAGCACTGTGCCCAGCAGTCTACACGGATCCCGGCCGCGTCCATCTGTGGAACCGGGCAAATCACTTCATGTCGCCGAGCCTCAGGCTCTTCCTTGGTGCATGCACTTAACAGTGGCGAGGACCTCCTAGGGCTGTGCTGATGGCTGAGTGATTAAAGAGCCAATACAAGCAGTGAAATTAGTGCACCATGAGCGCGGGCTGGACCCCCAAACACAAGCATGCGGGGAGCACACAATAGCCAGGTTCCTTCACAGGTTGGCTCTGAGTCCAGGACGGACCTGATGTGTTTGCACCCGTGGGGTCAGGTGACTTGGAAACTACACAGCCAATAAGGGACTGAGGGGAGACTGAAAGGTCAAGGCAGGCCCCTAACCCAGCATTTACTACACAGGGCACTTCTCTGGCAGCCTGGCAGTGACCCCTCTCTGCCACACCCTAGGCTGAGAGTTCTGGCCTGGCCCTCTCTGTGAGGAGGCTGGGTGGCCCTCTCTCCATTGAGCCTAGTCACCTAAGTAGCCATTTACAGGTCACCCTGACCCCATCACGCATTCTTTTTCCATAAGCCACTGAGCCAAGATGGAGGGTGGGGAGGACACGCCAGACCTTGTGGATTCTGGAAGGTGTCACCAATAATCAGGGACACAACCCCCTGTGGTTCCCACAGATGTCCTCTCCCAGGTCCCATCTCCACCTCGTTCTGGCGCCACTGGGAGAGCCTCTGGCGAGCTCTGGGAGCTGCCGAAACATTTGGTTATTTTGCTCATTTTATTAATAAATGTGTCCCGACGCCAACCACATGGAGACTGCTGCCTGGGAACAGGAATTGAAGCGTGCTCTGGGGAGTTTTCTGGCTGGATTGTGGCGACAGGAGAGACAGACAGGGATCTATGGGGAGCCAGAGGCTGGCCACAGATGGCTCATTTAGGGAACCTAGGGCATCCAAGGACCTCTGGGTTTGTGAGTCCTTTGGGGGAGGAGCAGGAGAGAAAGCAGCCTGGTGCCTCGACAGTATAATCACAGGATGTAGAGCCTGGAAGCCTACCTCAGTCCAGCTGCAGACAGTGGGGGCACATCTTCCTCCCAGGAGATGCAGGACTTCAGGTGTGCAGCAGTGATGTACCCCCAGAGCATCTCTGCAACCCCACAGTGAGAAGACTTAGGCACAGGTGCTCCATGGAGGGAGCTGGTAACCGCAGGCCTAAGGGCAGGGCCAGGGCCTGGCACACAGCAGCCCGCAGTGCTCACAGCACCTGTCCACAATGCTGTCAAGGGAAATATTCACAAAGGAGGTGCCCAGGATGGACTGGCAAGACAAGTGGGCCTTTGAGTCAGACCTCTGTCCCACTGCAGCAGCCACCCTGCTCCAGCCAGGGCCACTGAACAAATAATCCAAAGCCTTGCCAGGATCTTTACCCTTGAAAGGGATGATTCTGCATTTGAGGAGGGAAAGGAGCCTCCCCAGATGGAAGTCAGCTGGGGAAAGCACTCCCAGGCATTGTCCTTGACTGAACTAAAGACAGATGGGTATAGATGCCAGTGGGACCTGAGGATTCCTGAGAGAGTGCTTGGCATGCTGGGCCCAGGGGCCATGGTACCACCTAGACAGTTGCCTCCTGAGGATCCAGGGCTGCCTACACCAGCCCTGTCCTAGATTCCTCACTCCCATCTTCTTGACTCAGCACACTTTCCCCTAGGTAGGGCTTTTTGCTTTTCTCTGTTCCCTCCTCTCCCTCCCTCCCTCACTTTCTCCCTCCCTCTTTCCCTTCCTTCCTCTCTCCCTCCTTCCTTCCTTCCACTTTTTTTTTTTTTGTGGTACTGAGGCTTGAACCCAGAGCCTACAACTTGAGCCACTCCACCAGCCCTTTTTTGTGATGGTTTTTTTGAGATAGGGTCTTATGAACTATTTGCTTGGGCTGGTTTCAAACTGTGATCCTCCTGATTTCTGCCTCCTGAGTAGCTAGGATTACAGGCGTGAGCCACTGGTGCCCAGTGTTCCTCTTCTTTTTTTGAGATGGAGTCTCACTAAGTAGGCAAGGCTGGCCTTGGGCTCTCCCTCCTCCTGCCTCAGCCTTCTGAGTGCTGGAATTACAAGCATGCATCAGCAAACTCAGCTGCTTTTCCTGCTTTCTTTTCAAGTCATTTGTCTATTTGTTGAAGAATTGGCCAAAGGATATTACACTGCCTAACTGGTCTCACATGGATAGAAAAATTCTTGGAAATACCAGAAGCAAGGAAAGGGTGGGTCTGCCACCTCCCTGTGTGGCCCAGTTCCCACCCTTCCCTGGAGAAGCTTTCGATGTAAAGAACAAACATGGATGTCAGAAAATCTATCGCTACTGATAAAGCTGAATTCTCCACCCCCGTTTGGTATGAAATGAAAATAGAAATAACCATTTTACTATTCACTTTCCTTGGAGTAACTACCTTAAACACCTTGTAGGGGGCCCAAGCCTGCTTTGAGGCCTCTGTGCTGAGCAACTCCCTCTCCCCATAGAAGGAGGTAGCGACATGAGACAGGAATCTGAGTTTACGAAGATGTGGAGTGTGAGATCCAACCAAACCACCACCCCTCGCCTCCTTCCTCAGCTTCACATGGGTCCTGGGGAGCCATGAAGCTTCCCTTCCAGGTCTGGCCCCCATCCTCACACCTCATCCCCTACCTGCCCCACTGGGTACTAGCTGGAGGACCTTCTGGGACTCCTTAGGCTGGCCATGCTACCCTATCCCACAGGACATGTGACAGTTAACAGGCTGGTAAACGTGGACGGGATCCTGGCCCGGGTCTCCCTACACAAAGCGATGCATCCTTCTCACCCTCACTCATGGGGTAGAGCTGAGAACAGGACAGGGTCCAGAGGGTGGCTGCTCCCCAGCCCAGTGACAGCCTCTGAGAGGAAGGAAACCCGCCCCACCCAGGAACCCTGGGGAGACAGCAGGGGAAGCTCCTCTTCTCCAGAAAGGTTTCCAAGGGTCCGTGTTCATGTTCTGCCAACTCTCTCCCGCACAGAGCTCTGCAGCGAAGTGATTCACAATGTTTTCTTAAAGGAAAGACAGCGGGGAGAATGGCTGGGACAGGTGGCTCATTGGTGAAAGTCCCTTCTGCTTCGGACCTCAGCTACTCCTCTTCATGTGACTGAACTGGCCCTGACAGTGCACGGGAACAGCAATGGCCTCACATTTGGGATATATCACTGTCAGGACTAGGACGGACTGGGAAGCTGCCAGGAGTCAGGTGCTAGATTTGGGTCTAGAAGGCTTGCAGAAGCTGACAAGTAAAGAAAAGTGGGAGAAGAGCGGAGGGACACAGAGGCACACTGAAGGGCACAGAGGGACACAGAGGGACAGAACAGCTGGGGGAGGAGGAACATCAGGGGGAGCTCAGGTGGGGCAGGAAGCACCTCAAAGGAACAATGAGGCCTGGCTCTGCCTCTGGGCCCTGGGGGCTCTCCCCCTTCCTCAGCCTTAGTTTCCCCACTGGTAAACCTGGTGGTAGAGGTTTAGAGTGAGTGAACCTGAGCTCTGTGTCCTCATTTCCAGCTGGGCTGGGCTGCTGGTGTGTCCTGGCCTCTCACACCCCTTCTTGAGGAGGTGTCCTGGCCTCTCACATTACCATCCCCCTCCCCTGCTCACCCTCTGCATAGGGACCTGCTAATCCCCCTAGAGGCTTCTGCCTGGCTTCTGTTGCTAAGGGCTGCTGGTGGGGACCTTCTCTCCCAAGAAGAGAGAACTTGTGACTTACAGGGGGCGGGGTGGCCATCTGTTCTGTAGGCGACTCCCGACAGAGAGGCCATTCAGTGCTTGGTGGCCTGTCTGCCCCTTCCCCGCCCAACCTAAGCAGATGGCCAGCCTGCCAGCCCACCATGGAGTCTCAGGAGACTGGAGGCCCAGCCGGAAGCAGGGAGTGGTGGGTCTGTCCTGCCCTTAGACAAGTGGTCTGCTTGGTTCAGGTTCCAGGTCCTGGGCCTACCTACCTCCCTCACCGGACCTTTGTCCTGGGTGCCAGATCTGGAGTCCCCCACCCCCTAAATCAATGTTCCCTACCCAGCCAGCACACTCTGACCACTCAGGGAGGCAGCAGGAAAGCCACCCCTTATGTGCTACCTGGGCCAGGGCCCAGAATTCACTGAGGAGGCATTGGTCACCTGCCGCAGGCCACATGGCCCTCTGGGAGGATGAACTAAACCTGCACCCCAAATCGGTGGTTCACATAAGAACTCAAGGTGGTTAAAAGTGCAGATCCTGGTCCCAACCCCTAGACTCAAACCCAGGAGGATGTGAGAGGCCTGGGAAGCTGCATTTTAACACACTTCCCAGGCCAGTCCCCTCTGGCCGTCGTTTGTTTATTTCTAGCCTGAATAGTAGTGAGAATACTACATGGGAATAATTATACCCATTTAGCAGAGGAAGAAACTGAGGCTCCCAAGGGCAGGCAGTTTTGCAAAGTAAATTTCCCATGAAAAGTCTTGTCAGAGTCAGGTGTGGTATTAGATTTGGGTTCTAGATGGCTTTGGTCATCTGTTCCCTCCCTCCCCACCCCAGTCCCCCGGGGAGATGAACCATGGCTGGAACACTCTCTACCCTCTCCCAGCTACATTTCAAGGTCCCAAGTCCCAAAAAAGGCCATTGTGTCTCCCCGCGCCCTTAAGGAATCCTAAATAAAAATAGCACTAAGTTCCAAATTAATAGGGAAATCCCATGATGACAAAAAGCATTTTAATGCAATTTTTTTAAGTATTAAATTGCTTTAAAATATCCCCCCTGACCTTATTGGTGACCCTGTATCTGGGGTATACAACAATATCTCACTGGGGTCAATGTTCCAAGGCTCCATCCAGGGTGCGGTCTGGGTGAGGGGCAGGTGGGCTGCTGAGCGCTACCCCCTCCAATCCCCAGGACTGGTGCCTCCAGACTGGAGCCCTCACCAGGCAAGGCAGCCTTTTCCTGTCTCTTTGACTACCTGGTTTCCCTACCTGTGCGGGCTTCTTGGAGCAAAGGCCCAGGCCCCCTCCACCCTGGGGGCCAAGGTCTCTTTCTCCCTCCTTTAGAGTGGATGAAACATGGAGGGTTGGGTGCCCCTCCCCACCAGGGATGAGCCCAGAAGCTGCTCATCTCTGTCACAGATCATGCTGGAGAATGGAAGAAGCCCTGCTGTGTGTCCTTAAATTAGTCACTTACCTCTCTGAACCTTAGGAAGTAACACAGGGCCTACCTTCCAATCCTGCCTTGGAGGATGACTCCAAGGAGGAAAGGAAATAGTGATACACACATACGTCACTATGTCCCTCCCGCTGCCTCTTGCAAGAAGAGTGTATCCCCTGATGCCTGCCACATCGCTCTGTGTGCCAGCTTTACCTCTGATTTCCAATCCCTGGGAGGACCCCAAGATTAAGGTGACATTTGGTCAGGCCTTTGGGCTGATGTCACCCTTGCATTCTACAGATGGAGACTCTGAGGCCCCTGGGTCTAAGCAAACCAACACACAGTTCAGGGAGCCTCACACAGTCCCGGGACCTCAGCCTGATTTTCTACAGTGACTCAGTCTTCCGCAATCATTACAGAGCGATTGCTCCTGAAATTGGTGATTTCTCATTGTTGACGCGCTGTGTGGGCCCTGTTCCCTCCTTTTCAGTTTGCATTCACCACACTGGGGGAGGGGTCTGAGCTGAAGGGAAGCAGAAGAAAGACAAAGAAAGGAGATGGGGCGGGAAGCCACAGAGGAGAGGCGCTGACCACGGGGTTTCTCACCATCTGTGAGGCTGCCCTGGGCCTCTGACGGTGGAGGCATTGGAGGAGGGGGTAGGGATGCAGGGGACAGCAGGGTCTTCAGTGGTTGGCTATTCCCAGTTTCCATGGGGTTACTAACCAAGCACCTGGGTCCCAGAGTCTTGGGGGAGCTTCGAGGCACCAAGCCCACCTCTGCTCTCACAGTCATCCCCATCTCCCTCCACCTTCCCTCTCCCCACACCTTTGCCACACCCACTATGTGCTGGGGTCAAAGATGCAGCAGGGAACAGACACAGCCCTGCCCCACAGCTGCTCACAGTGGCCCTGGGAACGGGGAACTGAGCTGTCAAGTCCCCAGAGAGTGGCTGCTAGCTTGGGGTGCCTGTGGAGATCTGAGGCTATCTGGAGTATGGGGAGAGGAGTCATGAGGGATTTCCAGAGGGGATAATATCCAAGCTAAGAGGAACACCGGCAAGAACTGGAAGGTGTGAGATGGGGTGTGACAGAAGAGTCCAGCAGAGGTACAGCACGGACAGGGGCCAGACATAGCACAGTGAGGCACAAGAGGGGACCTGAGAGTAGCATCTGCTCTGGTATCTGTTCCTCTACCAGATCACAAGGGTCTCTGACACAACACTGGGTCTCCACACATCACTTGTCTGTCTGTCTGTATGTATGCATGCATTCATTCCTTCACTTAGCAGGAACCATTAAAGTCCACTAGAAACTCTGCAGAATGAAGTGGCAGGTCTATGATGGGCTGTACCCTGGGGCGACAAGGGACTGCTGCACAGGCTGTGGACTGCACCACTGCCTCGGCTATTAGAGTAGTAAGTAGCCTGTGGCCCTGTCTACACTGTCTTCTTTTATTAGTAGTCATTATTCATTCTTTTCCCCTCTGATACATAACATGTATACAGCACGGTACTGATGAGTGAGACAGGTCTCTACCCTCAGGGAGGGAAGATTCTAGAGGAGGCAGATGATCTTAGATGGAGACACACGCTGTAAAGTCAGGGTACAGGGTGAAGATTTGAGGGATGGGTTTACCAAGATTTTGTGGTTGGGAAGGCCTCTCTGCTCAGATGAGACCAGTGGAGGGGAGGTCATGCTTCATAGTCTCTGATTTGCTTCAGCTGCTGGGCAGGAGAAGCCTGGAGGCAGAGAGTTGCAAAATTCGGGACTGGGGGCCCACTTAGGAATGAGAGCAGGCCCGAGGACAGAGGCTTGGGGTAGGAGAAATGGCAGCAGCCACGATGAACAGAGAGAGAAAGGGCAAAGCGAGCTGGGTACCCTCATTGCTCTCAATGACAATGACGATAAGAACGCCATTATAACCAGTCATGGATACAAAGCACTTTTGCAACCACTCTCCTTACCTGGTCAAACAGACAAGGTGCTCAGCACAGCCCCATTTTCACCTGGTAAACTGAGGCTGGCAGGGAAGGTCTTGCCCAAGTTCTCACTGCCTGGAAGAAACCAGAAAGAACTTTCCTTACCTCAGAGTCCCCACTGACACTTGTCTCCATCAGCCTGGCTGACTGGCCCGAGAAGGCAGGGGGCCAGCTGTCCCTCCCGCCCCATGTCCTGGGGCTCCTGCAGAGTGCACCAGGGTGGCTACAGCTCTCCATGGCAGACTGGCCAATGCACACTACATGTTCTCTTCACAGGAAGCTAGAAAACCATAACTTATTTATACTTGGAAATCAGAGGCCACCTTCTCCTAGGTCTTCTGAGGCCCCCTCCGCAGCCCAGCTGCAACAGGGCTCCCAGAATGCCCTGGGAGCAGAGAGGAGGAGCTTCAGAGTGGAGAAGCATCAACAGGACTGAGCACCTAATGTGTGCTGGTCCTTAACTGTTTTTTTTTTTTTTTAATCTACTTATCAAAGTCATACTGGCCAGAGAGGCCATGGTTTGAATTTGGGAGTTACTTACCGGTCAAGTGGAGATAAGATTAGCCTCTATGTCCACACAGCTGACAACCCGAGTCCCCAAAGGCTCCAAGCATAGTAAGTGCTCAGTAAACACTAGCATCATCAGCCCGTCCCCTCAGTGGGGAAAGAGAGGCCCAGGGAGGCTACAAAAGTCACACAAGGCCACACAGCTTGGAGTCTGCACACCCAGTCAGAGGTAGATCTGTAGAATTTTGAAGCCAGGGTCTGAAGACCACCACCAAGCATGGAATTCCTGAGGGCTGGACCGTTCATGTCCATTTCATCTAGCATGTAAGAGCCCACTATGTGTGTGTTGGGGTGGGGGTGCTCGCTGAGGAGCTAAGGTAGGGGTGGGGGGACTAGGTGAAGATGAGTTGGCCCCATATTCTCTATCCCAGTAGATGTGGCCTAATGGGTGCAGACAGGTGACAGTGACCAGTGTGGCAGCTGCTGTCACCAGGTGCTCCTAGAGTAGTGGGGAGGCTGGAGGGACTTCTGGTGAGGCTGTGGCAGAGGGCCCACCCAGTCTGAGCAAAGGCCAGGAGGGTTGAAGCACGAGTGTTTGGGGAAACAGGCAAAAACTGATTCGTGTGGTTACAAAGACCTCCATGGGATCCCAAGGTAGGGTAGACATGTACTTTGGGGCTGACACATTTGGGATTAAAATCTTTGGTGCAGGGGCTTGGTAGAGTGGCTCAAGTGGTAGGCTGCCTGCTTAGTGAGCATGAGGCCCTGAAAACCCCAGTACCACCAAAAAAAATAAGTAAATAAAAGAACAATCCTTGGTGCGTGCATGAAGCTAGCCCTGGACTTGTTCTCAAGTGAAAGAAGGGCCATGCACCCCAAAGTCCTGCCGGGCATTCGTCATTACCCTCCCTTTCTTGGGAGGCAGGGCAAGGACTCTGGTGACTGCGGTAAGGGAGGACCCAGCTTAGCCTTCTGAGTTCCCTGGACTGGGGATCATCCTCCTGGGAAGGCTGAGCTGGGCCACGGGTAGGCCAGATGAGGAAGGAGCACGGGGTCAGGCGGGGTGGGAGCCTGGACCGCGCTCCCCATGCGCTGCCGCCCGCCCGCCGCCGGCCCCAGCCCGCCGTTAGCGCTCCGCGGGGCTCCGAGCAATTACATAAATGCCTGGTGCGTGGGGAGAGGCCGCCTTTGTTATTGCGATCCGCCTAGGCAGCGGCTGCGAGTATTAATAAACCGATCACTCAGAACGCCAGGCTGTGCAGGCTTGGTGTCCATACGGGTGGGGCCTCCTCCTTACGAGTAACGCACAGGGCCGCCCTTCCCCAGGAGAGAAAGAGGGGCTCCCCCGCCCCGGCCCCAGGCAGCCCCGGTCCCTAGCCCCTCCCCCACCCGCCTGGCTCAGTACCCTGGTCCCCAGAAAGCACGCAATTTTCCAGAAGGTAAACCATGGCTTCCACTTCCCTGGTGGGTGGAATCTGGCCTTAACCGCATCTGTAAAATAGGCCAAACAGTACCTAAGAAAGAGTTGAAATGTATGTTTTTTTAATTTTATGTTTCCTCCTGTGCTGTGGATCAAACTCAAGGCTTTGAAAAGGGTAGGCAAGCACCACGGAGCCCCAGCCTAGTCCTCGCATCAGTTTAAACAAGGTAATCTAGGAATTTGCAATCTCTCAAAGGCTCTCTGCTTCACTTCCTATCACAGTTACTTGAAAGACTTGTTGAGAGATGGTTGCCCCTCCCCCCCAGCCTCCAGCCCCAGGAGGGTCTGATTCTGTGTTGGCAGGTGGGATGGAAAATCTGCATTTCAAACAGGCTTTGAGAACCACAGCACTCTAAAGCCATTGATAAACAAGAACATGTTTGACATATGTCCCCTGGGACCACAGGGGACTTCATGTGCCAAACAAGGATTACTACTTTGGGGAGCAGGGAGGATCAGCAATCCTTGCTCTGGTCAGCAGCACAGCCACAGCCATCCGGACCTTGATCTGGAAAGGTAAGGCTGCCATCCATGTCTGTCTAAGGTGTGACCTTGGGCAAGCAATGTAATTCAGTTAGCTTTTGTTTTCTTGTCTATGAAACGTGGCTGTAATGGTACCAACCTTGGGGGATTTAGTAAGATGAAAGACAGGCAAAACACCTAGACCACAGTCTCCAACATAGTGACAGCTCAGAATGCTACTTCTGAGAGAATGTAAAGCCCCTGGGTGTAGTGCCCGTGTGCCTAGCATCCACCTGAGCTGGATGCAAGTGACATGTTGGTCTAAGACCATGTCCTCACAGCCCAGAGTGGCTGCTGTAGGCTCTCACTATGAAGGAACCTGGGGGGAGGTGTCACCCAAGCTGAGGACCCAGAATCTGCTACCCCACCTCCCCCATGGCAGGACTGAGCACTTTGAGAGAACTGGAGCCAGCCTGAGGCTCTTACTTGGTTGGTAGGAGTGTCAGCTGTCCCCACAAGGGCTCTGGACCTTAGGATACAGGGTCCCAAGACATCTCCCCCTCCTATCTGTCAGAAGGGGGCTTTCCTGCAGACATCCGCCTGCATCCCTTTGACCTCCTCACTCACCACCTATCCACAAATTCATTCATCGTTGAGTCAATGACTATTTTATTAAGCATTACTGTGAGTCAGGCTGGGAGCTCAGGTCTTACAGGTACATCTCTCTTACTCTTCCAAGTACCTGGTGTGTCTTCATGATTTCCCTCTTTCCACTTGACAGCTGATTAGACTGCGGCTCAGAAGAGCTGGGTAACTCACTGGAGGTCACAGAGCTAGTTAACAGAGGGCTAGGGCTGTGAACTTCAATGCAGGAAAGTCTAAGTCCTGAGTCCTCGTCTTACCTGCTGCCTTGAGCCTTTCCCCATGGGAAGCAGGAAAGAGCTGGCCATGGTCTGTGGTCCCCAAGCTGTCCCACTCTTCCTGAGCCTTGTTCTTTCCACCCCCAAGATCAGTTCTCTCTCCCACAGGTAAGGAATTGCATGACATTTTCTGGACCCAGAGCAGCTATAGACACCAGCCTGAAGTGCAGGGATGAATCATGCAAGGGAGGGCAGCCTTGGGGACAGGAGTTGGGGAGGAGCCCTGGTCAGTCTCCTAGGCTGAAGGAGGAAGAGCAGAGAGCCTGCCTGGGATTTCTGAGTCTCTGATATAGTTTCTAGCCCCCAAGGCTGTGGTCAGCATAGGACATAGAGGTCCTAGCAAGGCTGGTTCAGGAAGGCGGGGAGGGGCTAGAGAAGAAGAGGGGAAGCGAGACAGGGGAACTGGAAGGAGTTATGAGAATCTAGCTCACAAACTGTGTCCCATGTCCCCTTCACCTCGGCCAAGATGCTCACTGTGGCAGCCTCAGATCGCCCTGATTTGATGGTCCTCACCCCACGGCCACTCTTTACAGTTTACAAAGCTGTCACCGCAGGCCCTCTGCTCTGCTCCTGGGCTATCCAGCAACAGCTTCCTGTGCCCACTCCATGCTAAGGGCTTGCCATGTACTGTCTCTGTCTCTTAGGAGGTAATTCCTGACCTTAACCCCTCTTTACAGATGAGGAAACTGAGGCTCCAAGAAGTGAAATCAACATAAACGGGATGTGAATCCAGGTCTGTCAGGTCCAGTATCCCTGGGCTCAACAATCACAGGCCTCTGGTAACCTCCTCCTCTACAGCCCTCCTCCTCCCATGCCCAGGGACCGATTGAAATCCCTATACCCAGGCCTAGGCCCTCACCACTCCCCCAGCCCTCCCCTCCTTTGCCAGCTAACTCTGGTCTCTCTGTAAGCATCTTTGAAATCCAATCACATACCCATTCTCCCTTAGAGAGCACAATCCACAAGTGAGCCCTGGCCACAGACACTGGAAGTCCCCATGCCTCCCTCCCCGACTTCTAGCGCCCACCTGCACAGGCGCTTGCAGATGCCCACTCACACACTCCCCCACTCTGGGGCACCAAGAGGCAGATGGAGCAGCAGCTGCTCCAGGCTCTGTGGGCGGCTGGGAGGAGAGTGACCCTTGTCAGCTGGCCGCCGCCTGGCTCCCCCCACCCCAGCCCCACTCCTGGAGCTTTCACAAGAACATCTCAACACGTTAAGAGTCATAATAATCCCGATAATAATAGGAATCCACGATTCCAGTTGTTAAACCTTTTTTAGCGAATTGCCTGGGTCGGTTCTCATTAGCTTCCAGAGTCAGATCCTTCTGTATTTCCAGTTTCTGGGTGCAGCGAAGGGTTACACAGCTAGTTAGGCACAGAGCCAGGGTTCCAGCGTCATCTCTTGCCCTCTCACTTCGTGCTCTTTCTCCTGCGTTGCTGATAACCATGATGTTTCTCTGTTTTCACACGCTAGGCTAGGTGAGCTTGCTCGTGCCTAATGGAAAAAAAAATGAGGACCAGAAAAGCAAAGGGCCATGTGGCAGGCTGAGGGATGCTCTTGTACCGATGCACAGGGCTTTAAAGAACTGTACAGGAAGAGGGAGAATAAGCACCTAACGGAGGTCTTGGAGAAGGTGGATGGGCAGGGGACAGGGTAGCCTCTTGCTTCTCCTCCAGTCCCCCGAGCACTTTTTTCCCACATGAAGGAGGAAGCTGCCTTAGTAGTGAGCACTCCGTCACTGGCAGCTTGGAAGCCAGGGACTAGCTGATGGAGGGCACCAGAGAAGGGCTTCACACTTTCAATGGTGCTTGGTGTGGACTGCCTTGAATGCTGGGTGTCGGTTCTGTGGTCCCTTGGTTTTCCAAGGCCATTGACTGTTCTGTAACTTGACCCCTGCTCTTGACTACCCGGGTGAGCATCTGTCTCCCAGGAGGCTAGGACCTCTGGATAGGGACAGTGTCCTGTCCACCCCAGGGCACCCAGCACTTTGCCTGGCACACAGGAAGAGCCCAGCTTATGGGAAACCCAGAACACTTCCATGTCAGAGATCTTGCAGCAATTCTTACTAAAGTCTCTCCCACGGATGGAAGGTCAGGCTCTGGCATTCTACCCACAGACCCTGCTTCTAGTTTTAGAGTCATGCCAAGTGGAGAGCTGAGAGATGTCTCCAAGTCAGGAAGGGCAGACAGAGATGACACTTGCTGGGCCCTTCCTTTAGCAACCCTGCATGCTGGGACGGCAGAAGAGGGAGTGACAAATAAATTCCCCATCCCTGCTCTACCCAGAGTTGGGTAGTGCAGTGAGCTGAGGCTCTGAGGTGTTGCAAAGACATGCAGAGACCCAAGTCAGTTGGCTCTTGAGTGTGTACACCCTGCACACCTCACAAGAATCCTGATCTGGAGCCATGTCCGTGATTGATGGATTCATTCATTCATTACTGGCTATCCATAGCCAGGTATTTGGTTGGGAGCAAAGCTGGTAGCACTGTGGGATCCTAGTTTAGTTGCCTTGGTAATCAGGACCGCTAACAGCCACAAAGTGCTTGCTAGGCACCAGGCACTGTTCTGTTTACTTCCTTGCAAAGGCCACAGCCCTCCTGCCTGGCCCCAGCTCTGGAAAGGACAGTGGAGTGTGCTTGGCACGCCAGCTCTTGGCACAGTCAGCACTTAATAAGCAGGAGCTGCCTGATGCTGTAACTCGAAATCCCCACGGCAACCACATTCACTTCCTGCTATGGTAACCCCCACTTTGTAGATGAGGAAGAAGACACGGAGAGGTTAGGCCACTTACTTGTCCAAAGGCCACACTGTCCCTAAAAGGGCAGAGCCACTATCTGGATGGACCCAGGCAATCAGGTTTCAGAGCCTGCTAGATTGACCCTTAAGGATGGATGCAGGAAGATCTCAGACCTGTGTGGGAATGTCCACTTAGCCGCTCCTCTCTGTGTCCTACTTTCTTACCTTGTGAAGTAGAGCATGTCATCTGCCCCATCCCCCTCAAGGTCCACTGTGGCCACCATCGGACGAGATGCAAGGATTCAGGCTTTCTCTAAGCAGAGACACGATTACAGGATTAGAATAGGCAGGAGAGAGAGACGTTTGCTGGGCCTGGTCCTTTTTGGCTGACAAACTCCCAGAGGTTCAAAATCCAAATCTCTCCAGGACTCCAAATCCCACTCTGCCAGGTGCCCCCCACAAGCATCCTGCAGATAAGATCTTTGCAATTTACAGCAAAGTCGCTGAGGTTAGATAAGGAGGGTGGAGGGCAGGTGGGGCTGGGGTGAGGGGTGAGGGTCATGTTATTTGGCAAAGTTGCACCAAGCTGGGGGAGGGAAGGGCGGGCCTAGGCTGGAAGCCTGAAGTCGATATGAATTCCAGAATTAGTGACAGTCTTCTGGAGAACGGGACTACTCATATCGACCTCGTAGGTTGTTGAGAATCACATGATGCCACACTTGTAACTGCTTTAGCGCTCGCCAAGCGGGCGTTCAGCAAGGGTGACCATTGTCACACTTGGGTATCCCTACCAGTCAAAACCCTTGCATTGTAGACACGGTGACATACGGCAAGGGAAAGAGGAGCTGTCTTAAGAACTTGCCAAAAAAGTCCTCCTGGGCGGCGCGGGCCACGCCGGGGCATCCCGGTCCTGGGTTTTGATTCGAAAGCGCGATCCGCCGAGCGTGGGTGCGCCCCCCGCAGGCGGTCTCCAGAAAGGCCTCGGCAGGAGAGCCCGGGTGCGCGGTCCCCGCAACCCCTCTCCGCCCACCCCGGCGGCCACCTCGGGGGTGAGGCAGCCCGGCGCGTGGGAGGGGACGGCGCGCCATTGGCTTGTGTGCGGAACTAGAGGAGGGACCAGTGGGGCCGCCAGACTAGGGCGAGCCCGGCGGCGCAGGAGTCCAGCCGGCCCTGCCCTGCCCTGCCCTGCCCTGCCGTGCCCTGCCTACCCCGCGCGGCGGCGCGATGTGAGGCGTCCCGGGCCGGAGCGTCCGCCCGTACGCCAGCTCCGCGAGCGCGGCGCCCCACGCGCTAGGAACGTAAGTCCACTCCCCGCCGCCGCGAGCCTAGCACTTCCCGCAGCCGCCGGCCGCTGCCTGCGCAGCGCAGCCCGCGGGCGCCCGGGGCCGCAACGACCGCCGGGGACAGCGATCACATCGCGCGCGCCCGCCCAGCCCCGGGACAGCTTGGCACCTGCGGGTCCGTGAGCACCCGGGACCCTCTCCCGGCTGCGCAAGGCGACGTCCGCTGCTTCTTCTGTTTGTCCCCTTCTCTTTCTCTCCTCCCTCTGACTTGGTTTCCCTCTCTTCCCTCGGCTTTCTGCCTCCGCCACCTCCTTCCTCTAGGACTGTTTATTTCGCACTCGGCCCTCCCTTCTCGGGCTCGCACTCTCTGCTTCGTAGCGCGCGAGAAACAGAGCGAAAAGCAGTTTCGCTGTCGCTGGGGTCTCCGTCCCCTCCTCCCTCGTCTCTCTCCACCGCACCCTCCCGCCTTTGTTTCCTGGCCCGGGGAGTGCGCGTTGCAAACTTGCGAGTTCCTCGGTCTTCACCCCCGCATCAAGGCCAGGAACCGAGATGCTGGCGGAGTTCCCACTGCCCACAGGTTTGGCGCGACCTCTGGGGCGGGGGCGGCGGCTGGCTGGAGGCGCGGGGGGTGGGGCGCCCCGCTGCTCCGAGCCCGAGCCTCACAAAGTGGGGGAGTGTCGGGAGCCGGGAGACTAGGGACAGATCGGAGGGGGAGGGGCGAGACTGAGCGAGACCCCAGTGTCCAGGCTGGAGAGGAGTGGGAAGGAACGCAGGCCGCCCAAACCCCAGCTCGGGTGGGTGAGGAAGCGCAGGTGGACAGAGACGCCCCCCCCTTCTTTCCCTGAAGCCGTGCGATCTGCTGGAAGCGGACCGTGTGGGGCCATTGGCCTGGCGCAGGGTGGGCTGGGGCCCCGTGCTGTGAGCAAAAATACTGGCGCTCACCTGTGTGTGTGTGTGTGTGTGTTGGGGGAGGAACGGGGTGGTCTGTAGAAGGCGAGCAGAATGCCGCGCCATCCCCTGGCGCGTGCCGGGGGCCGGGCGCTCGCTTTGGGTCCCCTCGCTCCACCCTCCCTTGCGCCCGCTCAATCGCTCACCGCCTCCTCCTCGTTACTGCGTGGGGGGTTGTGTGTGGGGGAGCGGGGTTCTCCGCCCGAGGATGGAAGCGGAAGCAGGAGTGAGGCGAGGCGGAGAAAACCCACAGTCTGCCCCCAAAGCCCTTCGCAGATGTGGAAGGCCGCCTCACAGTCCCACCACCCGCACTTCCTGTTTGATTTCTTCTACTGAAACTTTCCTGGAAGGGGCCGACCTGCGGGGGTGCTGCAGGGATGCCAACCCCAACTCTGTAGCCCCTTGGACCTCCACCTCTGGTGTCCTGTGGAGAGGGGGCACGGACGTGTAGCCCACAGATTCCGGAGTCTTGGGGTCTCTTTGTTGCAGAACCAGAAGGGGGCACTGTGTAGTCCTTAGCCGCAGCCCCGGACTCAACCAGGGGAGGAGAGAAAGATTTTTCTTGCTGGGTTGTTAGGAGATAGAGTTTTCTTCAGGTCTCTCTTGTCTCGTTGGCCACCTGGCCCCGAATGTCCCCAAGAACCCTGGAGGTCTTAGGATGAGCCGCTCTGACTTTTTTCTGCTCACAGGCTGTCTGCTTCATCAGGACTCCCAATGGTGGAGTGGAGCCCCAGGCTGGCTGTCCACCTGATGGTCCCACCGCCAGGTCCTGACCCAGGACTGCTGCAGCTCCTCCAACCCCACTGGCCCCATTCCAGGGTCCTCATGGTGGCTCCTCCTCTGGAGACGGGGCCTAACCCTCGCCATTGGGAGCAGAGGGAAGTATTAACACAAAACATCTGTGAGCACTACACCAAAGCTGATGTAACCAAACACAGGCTAGTCACCTGGAGAGACAGCTCTGGATAAAATGAGGACCCTTGCTCTCATGGAGCTGGCTCTTAAGGAGGGGAGGCAAATAATGAACAATTAAGCAAGTGAGGGGAAAATGTTGAGTGTTGGGGTGTTACAGCCAGGGATCAGGTTGCCATTTTAAACAGGGTGGTCAGCTAAGCCTCCCCCATTCTGCAGAGAACAGCCTATGCAAAGGGCCTGAGGCTGGAATGTGCAACGAGGGTGGAATGAGGGGTGGGGAAGCAATAGCAGGCCAGGCTGGCTGGGAAGGGATGGAGCCCCCTACTAAACAGCTAAAGGAACCAGATACTCATGCTATTTAAGTCGTTTCCCGCCCCCCACCCCCACCCAGGAGTGGCAGTTTGAGGGCAGGGTGTCTGATGTTATGACTCCTAGCCGAGGTGCTTTCCAGGGCCCTGCATCTCAATTGATCAATCAGTAGCGCAGGCTGTGTTCTCCTAGGACCAGACCTGGCCCAGATGTGGAAGGAGCCACCCAGGCTGGATGACCGAACCCAGCTCCTCCCTGGCCTCCATGGTCAATGTACTCCCACCCAGAGTGACCCTTGTGCTCCCTCACCCCACTTGCTTCTGATGGGGACTCCCTTTAAAGCACTCCTTTCTGTACTGGCACAGAATCCCCAGGAGAGGTCCTACCCTGAAGCTAGTTTGGTTGAAGGGAAACTGAGGCAAAGAAGTTGAGACTCGGGCTAAAAATAATCCCAGCAACATTATCACTGAATGTTTACTGCAAAACACCACACTGTTCTAGATGCTTTCTGTTTTCTAGTGAGAGGTAGGTGCCATTATACCCATTTAATTGATATGGAAATTGAGGCCCAGAGAGGCTGATCCTTGGCCCAAGGCCACAAAACTAGGCAGTAGAGCCACGATGTGAGCCCAGGCATTTTGTGGGGTGATCTACCCCCCTTAACCATTAAGAAAGATCCCAAACATGGGGAGAGACACTCAGCCCTGGACTGGTGTTCTGGGGACCCTTCTGCCTGCCTTCCCATCTCACCCAGAAGACAACTCACCACTGCTGAAAAAATTGGCTCAACCTGGTGGTGCATCCCTTCAAGGAAATTCCCCTCCTTTCTTCACCCACCATCTCTGAGTTTCTGGGTAGCCACAGGGCACTGAGAGGGGCAGAGCCATAGGGGAAGGGGCTGCTGCTGCATTTTCACCACGGCCCTGACTACAGGGAATCCTGAGGCCAGGCTGTCCCAGTGGATGACAGCACCAGCTGCCCTTAAGGGCTCTGATGGGGCCACTAGGCTTGGGGAGGAGGAGGGAGCTTGTCCCACCCTGGGTAGAAAAGGATAGAAATTCTCCATTCACTCTTCCCTTTGCAAGTAACAGCTGGGACAGGAAAGTTCCTCTCAGTGACTTCTGAGTGGTGAGACAGCTATGAGAGGGCTGGCTATCCCTTGCACACAGCAGCAGCTCCAGAGCCCTGGGTGAGGCCCCCAGAGATGTCTCTCCTTGCTCCCCCTCTGCCCAGCCCCACCCCTTGCCAACACAGCAGGGGATTGTTTATTTTTGTCCCTGAAGCTTTGGAGATGTTTGTAATGAAAGTTGAGGCTTCCCTCTTCCTCTCTGGAAATCAAAGGACAGGGAAGCGGTGGGAAGATAGGGTGTGAGCCTTGCTGAGGTGGTGGTGGTGGGAAAGAGGGGTCCACTTGAGCAGGGCCTGATGTGGCTGGCCTGTGCCTAGCAGGGGACAGAGTTGGGAAGTTCAGACCCTTGGAGTGGCCTGGAGACCATACTCCTGCTTTTTAGTTCAGGAAACTGTGTCCCAAAGACAGGCCCTGGCTTACCAGTGACAGCAGAGTGTACTCATGACTTTAGCTGTCCTGCCTTGGAGCCCAGTAACCCAGGGTCAATCTTGTCTCCTGGCAGCAGGGAAAACCTTGTGTCCTGAGCTCCCAGGGTCAGCTTCCTGGAGGTTTATGGAATGGGGGTGTAGAATCTGATTCTTGATTCCAGAGTTTTGTTACAGGGACGGGTTGCCTGCCAGTGCCACACCACAGGATTCCTATCATGGTCTTGTCTGTGTGTGTGTCCTGTGCACTCAAGAGACACAGCAGGCCAAGGTAGGCTGGCTATAGAATAACTGCACTCTTGAGAGACCAAGGGACTGGCTGCACCCAGGCCTGCACCCCAGAAGTGATCATCAGTATACAGGCTTATGGATGACACCACTTCTGTCTTCTGGGTGGGGTCTAACCTCTCACAGCCTGTGCATTTACAGGGAACAGTCACCTTCCTGGAGCAGCTAATCGACCCCAGACCCAGGGCTGGGAGTGCCAGCCAGATGTGAACATGGTATCTTCATCCCCCAGTCCCTCTGTGACGCCCTTGATAGTGGGCTGTGGGTTCTGGGCTGTACTGTTAGACCCCATTTTGCCTTGGGCCACTGGGCTGCCTTGGAAAGGGTCACTGTGGATGCAGGCTCTGGACTCCTGGCCCTGCACCTCAGGAGCAGAGGCTCCTTCCGATGCCCCCTCTGGCCAGGCCCCTGAGCTCTGACTCTTGCTGCCTCCTACCCCTCCCTCCCAAGACCCCACTTCCAGCTATTTTGCACCAATGTGATAACAGAACAATGGGGCTCCAAGCTGTGCCTCTGCAGGGACTGGAGCCAAGGGAGGCCAGACTCAGACACAGGGCATGCCGCCCCCCAACCAGGCACATAAACACACGAGCACACACACGTGCACACACACGTGCACACACACACAGGTGTAAATGTACACATAGACACATGAGCACAGTCACACGAGCACACTAGCTCCTCTGGATATCTAGTTAAAGCACAGCTCACAGTTAACTTGGGTTGAATTCCAGCTCTGCTACTTACACTATAGGGATTCTTCAACAAATCACTTGGGCCTTAGTTTTCTGATCTGTAAATTGGGATGGAAATCCAACCATCTCATGGGCTGCAGTAAGGATTTCAGCGGGTTCCTGACCACTCTCCCCTCCCAGTCCTGGGCACATATGGCTGGGGTGGGGCAGCTCCTTTCCTGGTCTGTAATTGAGCCTGCTTTGGGAAGGAAGTGGCTCCTTGGCTGAAGTGCGCAGGTGGCAGTGGTGACTTCCCCTTGAGTCACCCAAAGCTTGGAAGGTGTGGGTGTGCTGGGTCCTTTCCTCCCCTCCCCCATCCAGGCCCTTCAGGTTTCCTTAAGCCAGCCCTCCTGGGCACAGCCTCCCTGTCGGGACAGCTCTGCAGTCCATCTGTTTCTATGGAAACCAGGCTTCCTGGGAAGGATGGAGGAGCTGGGGAAGTCCTCCCGGGATCTGCGTGGGATAGCTGCCCCAGCCGGATCAGGTCCTCTGCCTAGGGCGAGTGTGGGCAGATGGTCATTAATAATATCATCCATCGCTCTCCTTTCTGAAGACAAGCCAGGTGTCTGCCTCCTTGGCTCCATATCTCCGTTATTCCCCTTCCCAAACCTGTGCACTGAGGGGAAGCAGTAGTCAGGGTATATAGAAGAGGACATGGTGACTCAGAGAGGTTCAGCAACTCCCCGGAGGTCACAGAGCAGTTAAGAGAAAGAGCTGGGCTCTGAGTCCAAGTTGTCCAAATCATTAAGAATGTGCTTCCCACCTCCAGCCTGTCGTCCTCCCCTGACACTCCTCTCTTCCTGGCCTGGCGAACCCTAAAGACTTCATATGGCTTTGCCTTGATGTCACCTAGGCGCTGCCATCTCAGGGGCTGCAGCAGAGGAGAGGAGTGAGAGGGGGCTGCAAAGAGCCCCTAGGCCTGCAAAGAGCCTTGTGCTGCTCCCCGCTCATCAGTTCAGTCAGGTACTGGTGGAGTTCCTGAACCAGGCACTGTCCCAGCACAGAGACAGAAGTGCCAGGCATCAGAAATGCCAGTGCCTTCTGAGGTGGGGGGTCAGGCTGGGTCCAGCATTCCTATCTAGTCCTCTCCTCACCATGGTTTGGGTGCCCTGGGTGAGCCTTCTGTGAAGGACATGAGCACCCCTCCTTTGGGACCTTCAGCACCTCAAGTAAGGTGTTGTCACCGAGTCTCGCACTTTGGGACTTGCTGGTCCAGTGCCACCTGCCCTTTAGCAAGTGGCCACACTGGAACCCAGCTCTTGCCTCTTTCCTACCCTGCTTACACCTGGTCTGGGGCAGATCCTGTCCCACTGGCCTCAGGTGTTTGTTTTGTTGTTTTGAGATAGGGCTTTGCTGTGTTGCCCAAGCTGACCTAGAACTCTGGAGCCTCCTGCCTCAGTCCCCCAAGTGCTGAGATTACAGACATGCGCCACCATGCCTGGCACTCGGCCTCGGGATTCTGCCTGTCAAGTGTGCGGCTGGTGTGGCGTCCCAGCCGCCCCTCTAATCCTCGGGATTTCCAGGTCAGTTCTCTTGGCTGGCTGCTGCTGTCAGGCCTGTGTTGACAGATAGATCCACCGGGGGAGCACAAACCTGCAGGCCTTGGGACTGGCTAGCCTTGGGAACTGAGCTGTATGAACTGACCAGGAGCACGGGCTGGAGGTAGCTGTGAGGGCCCACATGAGACCAGGAGAGCCCAGGGGAGGAGAGCCCTTGCCTGGGAGAGCCTGGAGGAGAATCAGGGAAAGTGGAGGCAAGGAGGACTTTTCCATTTGGACAGATGCTCAGCAGGGGAAGCAGCTGTTAGAACAGGGGTTTGCTGGCTTTTGGGGGGAGAATGCTGTTTAGGCAGCTGGCTGGGCAGAAGGCAGAGGCTCATAGCCTCGGACCCTGTGAGCCCCTCTTCCCTTTTCCTTGGCAGCCAAGCATGAGAGGAGAAGGAGCAGTCCTCCACACCATTCCCCTCCCCACCCCACCCCCAGCTGGGGCCCCACAAGGCAGCTGGACCAGCAGGAAGCCTGCCAGGCCTGACTGGCTGGCCTTTTCCACTGTGCATGGCTGAATGAAGAAAGGGAAGTGGGTGGCTCCTCCCTGGGCAGGGCTCTCGGGCAGGGACACCCTTCTGCACTCCCTCTTGTGTTCTGGCCAGTGGCACTTCTGCAAGGTGGGTGCTCTTATTCTCCCCCATTTCACAGGGGGAAACTGAGGCTGAGAGTACTGTAGTGACTCACCCAAAGCCTGCAGTAGGGGTAACCTATGATTCAAACCCAGGTCTTCCTAGCCCAAAGCTGGCGTGTGGCCATGTCAGGGTAACTGGGATAGAGTGGGAGGAGGTGACTTCACTTAGGTTAAAATGTTACCAGACCTAAAATGAATTCCTGTCCTTGAATGGGAAGAGAGGTCAAGAGGAGGCCTGAGGGGTACAGGGGTGCAGGCATGGCTTGCCTTGGGGGCAGAGCATTTTAGGGGCTGGGGATGGATATGGATGCTCGGGGCCCATCTGGGGGTTAAGAGAGACCCTGGAGATCAGAACAGTTCACCTGGCTACAGGGTGGGTTTGGACTCTTCCTTCCTGGAGTTAAAATTCAAGGTCCCATTCTCCTAGGAGGCCATGGGGGCCTTTTGGGCGGTGAACTTGGCTGCTGGGACTGAGCTCTAGGGACAAACCCAGTGGGTCCCACCGATGCACTGGGATACTTGGGTGGCAAGGGTCCATTTTATTGCACTTAGAAGGAAATCAAAGGTGGACTCAAGCAGCAAAAGTCAGAGAATTTTTATCTGCAGAGAAGTTTCATCTGCATGGGCTCCTGCTCCTGCAGGGCCCCGGGTCAGGTTGGAAGTTGGGTTTTATAGCTTTTTTATTGCCAGAGGGTGGAGATTTTGGCATGAACCAGTGTCTCTTGGGAAGGAGAGGTGTCTTTGGCGCGAACAGGTGTTTCTTGGGAAGGAGAAGGGTGTTTTTCCCCCTGGCTAATTGCCCTCGCCATCTTTTGGGAACACGTGGGCCTCCTGCAGTCTGCCCTTCACTGCCAGCCCAGACACCCAATGGCAGTTGTTGTGGCTGAGATTGTTCCACCCAGGACTCTGTAGGGCCCACTGTGCCCAGCCCCAGCAGGTGGGCACTGCCCTGCCACTCAGCCTGGGCTGGGCAGCAGCAGTTGTCAGCACAGGTGTGGGATGCAGAGGGAGCACTGTGCGTGGTGAGTTGGTGGGAGGGGTCATTGGGCAGGGGAAAGCAGTTGCCTCATGCTGGGAACTTCTGTCCTCTGAGCGGGGGGGGGCGTCGTGACACCGGCAGCCTTGTGTCAGGGGACTGAGTTCCCAGGGTTTGACCTTACATGGTGGGAATACCAGTTAATGCGGTGGTCTCCTGGTCCTGCCCACGTTCATCCAGAGTCACCGCCCAGGGGGTTCTGGGAGGGGTGGGGATGGTAGCATGGCTGTGTTTAGTTCTTGTTGTCTTCACTGGTCACTTTCTGCCTGCAAGGTGCTGGTCCATGAATTTCGTGGTGACATCTTTTATCTCAGTATATCCCTAGGATAGAGACCCTTCTCTTCCCAAGGACAGATGGGGAGACTGAGGTACAGAGATTAAGTTGTCGGCCTCTGGGCACAGAGCTGAGACTCAGCAGAAGAGGATATGTAGCCCAGAGAGCGAGCTAAATACTCCAGCTCTCAGCCCCAGGCCTCAGGCCTCAGCAGTTTCTGGCTCTTTATAAAGTCTCTTCTGTACTTTTGTTCTGCTTCTCCTTAGACCAGCTCTAAGAGCAAAGTGAGGGTGGTGGTTCCCATTGCACAGGAGAGAACAGGAGCTCAGAGAGGAGAGGAGCCTGCCCTATCCAGCTGCGACAGATCAGGCCCCTCTCCATGTGCTCCTTCCGGCCGGGCTGCATCCCATCACCTCTGTCTAGCTCAAGGTGACCTCATGGCATGCAGTTTCTTCCTTTCGTTATGTGGGTGCCACTCCAAGGGCTCCAAGGGAGCTGCCCTTTTTGTCCCAAGATCCCAGGGAGGTGGGAATTAGAGCTGTACTTCACAGATGAGGAAACTGAGCCTCAGAGCAGTGCGGTGACTTGCTCAAGGTCACGGCCAGTAGGGGCTCAGCAGGATTGAGTCAGGCAGCTTGTCACGTAGGCCTGGTGAGAAGAGCTGAGAAGCCAGGGCCACCTGGCAGAAAGGCTAAAACAGAGCTGACCATAGTAAGTATTGGTGAGGACGGGAAGGAACTGGAACGGTTATGCATTGGTAGGGGACACACAGGGCTGCTTGTTGCCCTGGAAAACAGGTCACACTTTGGAGTTCAGTGTTGACCTGTCAGACAACTCACAGTCACCCCTGCGCCATTTTCCTTAGAGACATGGAAATGTGTGGTGGCACCAAACCCAGACATTAGCGTCAATGGTTGCTGTGTTCCTAATCACGGAAAGCCGGAAGTGGTGGCCCGGTGTCCCTCAGCGGGTCCATCTCTCCGGAGGAACACGGTCCTGCAGTGAAAGGAGCAGGCTTAAGCCTGCAGTTTGGTTGAATCTTCATCATACCAGATGGAAGAAGCCAGGCTCCAAAGGACATCCCTTTTATGAATCTGTTTACGTGACGTGAGAAAACCAAAACAAAACAATAGTGACAGAGAACAGACCTGCACTTGCTGGCAGTGGGGGCGAGGGGTAATAAAACTGCCGGGTTCTGACTGAAACAAGAAAAAGTCAGTTTTGCTGCACGTATTAAAATAAAAGGGCCAGAGGGAGGCAGGAAGAGAGAGGGAGAGGGTCAGGTGACATCTGGTGGGTCCTTTGTTGGCTCTTAATTGGGGTTGGAGGGTGGTATTTTCCTGGGGTTACATGGCACTGGATGGCAGGTCCCCTGATGGGGACAGGTGACTTCTGAGCGCTACCCATGAATGGAGATTGTTTTCTCCATTGTTTCTCACCACAGAGGGTGACTGCTGCGGAAGGGAGATGCTGGGCTTGCGGGGTGCCCCCTGCTGGTGGGGTGCCATGGGGGCACTTGTTTTGGCTGGTCTCTGCCACACCCTGCTTGCCTCATTTGCTGAATGGATGTAAATTGTGCCCATCTTGCAGGGCACAGTGATTCAGGGAGCCCAGGAGATTTGCTCTGCTTCCATCGATGCTCTGTCACCTCCCACAGATTGTACAACTGAGTCCAGGAAGGCACTCGGCTCATCTCCATCTCCAGCGCCCAGTAGTGTCCAGCTCACCGTAGGTGCCCAGGGCTGGCCTGAGATGCTGCTGGGGTGGAGGGACATGGGGACAGACATGGGATAAGGGAGGCACTGAGGGGACCTGAACAGGACATCCCTCTCCCTCCTGGGGGAGGTTTGAGGGAGGGGGTTTGGAAGATGGAAGAGCCACAGGCTTATCTGGGCAGTCAGTGAGTCCTGGGCCCCAGAACTCGGGCGGGTCTTCCCCTTTGAAGCCTCATTTGCCATGCTGACCCAGGCCCTTGTCCCCCCACCTTCCCAGCCCAGGAAGCTTTGCGGTAGGCTCCATCCAGGTCCAAGTGCCTTTTCCGGGGCCTATACCTCCCCCAGGGCCAACTGAGGCCTTGCCCAGCTTGGTCCCCTGGGTTGGAAGGGCCCGAGGAGCATCCTCGTCACCCATTTTGCAGCCCCAGAAGCTGCTGGGGCTTCATCTGCTCCCCAGCCTTGGGCGGGGTCTGGCCTTCCCTTATGTCGGGACTCTTCTCCTGGGGTGTGGCAGCTGGGCAGGAACCGTGGATGAGGCCAGGATCTCCCCCACTCCTTCTGCAGAGGCCAGGCTGAAGAACACCATGGCAGCCAAGCAGCCCCCTCCTCTCATGAAGAAGCACAGCCAGACGGACCTCGTGAGCCGCCTGAAGACCCGGAAGATCCTGGGCGTGGGCGGGGAGGACGATGATGGGGAGGTGCACCGCTCTAAGGTGGGCCAAACCTGCCCCTCTAAGTGCTGGCAGGGGAAGGAGGTCGGAGCTGCTGTCTGAGGGGCGAGTGGCCAAGGCCCCCAGAGTGCAGGAGCCCTAGGACTTGGTTACCTTTTCTGGAGCTGGCAGGGAATGATGACAGGAGTTCATTGAATGAATCAAGTGCCTCTTATGAGGCAAGTGTTATAGTAACTGCCTTGTAAGCATTAGCTTATCTTGCAAGCCCTGGGAGTGGTAGATTCAGTTGTTAACCCACTTTACAGATGAGGAAACTGAGGCTTAGAGAGGTTCAGTGATTTTCTCGAGGCTGCACCAGTAAGGGGCAGAACCAGGCTTCAAGTCCACGTTGGTCAGACCCTGCTCTTTCATTCCCAGTCACTAGATTTTCAGCTTCTCTTAAACCTTAGTGTCAGTGTGACTCTCCCAGCCTGGGGCGCCCTTTGCCAAGCAGAGGTACCCAGGTGAGCCCCCAGGTGTGCTGGGGGCACTGGGAGGAGGATGAGTATGGCCAGCTGGGTGCTGAGAGCCACCTCCAGCTGTTTGCCTGATTCCTGTGTCCACAGATCAGCCAGGTCTTAGGCAACGAGCTCAAGTTTGCTATCCGGGAGCCTTTGGGGCTCAGGTGAGCAGTGAACGCATCTTGTTTGGGGAAGTTGTGTGTCTGGGGAAATGCGGGATTTCCCCCCACCCCCCCACCCCCCCATTCGGCCATGGCCTGGATTGCAACCCATCTCATCACCAACGTCAGTCCAGTCAGTCCTGGCATCCTGGCTGCAGAGGGGCGGTCCCTGGGGGCTTGGGGGTGGCAGCAGGGACTGGCTCTCACCTTCCTCTCTGCACCTCCCTAGGGTCTGGCAGTTCCTCTCTGCTGTGCTGTTCTCTGGAATCGCCATCATGGTGAGCCCCCACGCCCTGGGACCCGGCTGGACTCAGATCTAGTTAGGGCCCTGGGCATAGCCCCCAGCTTGCCCACCCCCACTCCCATGGCTCCCTGGGCTCCTCCTCTGCCCTGGTCCCTGGTTGCCTGTCCACACTGTTGCGGTGCTGTGTGGCCCAATCTGTCAGGCCCTCTGGCTGCTACAAGGATGTCTCCCCACTCATGCTGTGCCTGGAGCATTCTGCACCCCATGGGCTGTACCCTGGGAACCCCAAAGCCTTGTGTCCTGCCCCAAGGACCCTGGCCTGCCCTGGAGGAAGCAAGTTTCCACAGTGCCCAGCATTGAGTGGCACCACTGAGTCCCTCCCATTATCCCCAGGCCCTTGCCTTCCCTGACCAGCTATATGATGCCATCTTTGACGGAGCAGAGGTCACCAGCAAGACCCCCATCCGCCTCTATGGTGGCGCCCTCCTCAGTGAGTATTGTGGGTGGACTGTGCAGAGTGGGAGTGGGGCATTCCTCTGCTAGGGAGGGGCTCCTCCTTTCCCCAGCGGTTCCCTCCGGCACCTCGGTGGGCGTGTGCTGCCACCTTGTGGCCATTGGTGGAATGCACCCGGGGCACTGGGAGTGTTTCTGCACTTACTGAGTGCTTGCTGTGTGTTAGTGCACTGCCCTGGGGCACTGGGGAACAGAGATGAATGAATCCAGGTCTAGAGGAGGAGGCAGACGCAACGCAGTGCCTGACTACCCCTACACCCACTCTAGCTTTATCTCCAGAGCATTTGGACCATTTCTGTTTCCTCTCTAATCTGTTAGGGAGCCAAATCAGTTTTTAAAGTTCAACATGGGGTGGTATCCCTCCCCTCCCCTCCCCTCCCCTCCCGATGGCTCCTTGTTACCTTCAGAATAAAGCCCCAGCATTTTGAATTCAAGAACCTTAAATTCAAGGTTCTCAGTGGGGTGGATCCAGCTAAACTTCCCACACATACCTCCCCTACACCCCACAATGGGCTCTGGACTGCAGCCACACCTGACTGTGCCCACTCCCCAGTTTCAGAAGACCACTGGGCCTTTGCTCGTGCAGTTTCTTCAGGCTTGTGTCAATTTTACTTCTGCCCAGCCTTCAAGGGCAGCTCCAGTACCTCTGAGAAAGGCAGTGGTGAGATGAGGCAGTACTGCACTGGTGAAGTGGTGTAGCTCAAACTATGGTGTCAGAGTAGCTGAACTCAAACCTGCACACCCCTGGTGACATCTGGTGACTAGAGTCAGCCGACACTGATAAAGGCTGAGATGGAGGTTCTTACCCTAAAAATGTGGTTCATTCTGTTCCCCTTCCCATCCCCCCAGGAGTTTCTTAGAGTGATCCTTCCCTAGGCTCAGGTTTCTATCCCCAGGAGAAAACAGTTGTACAACCAGGTCACAGACTCTGTCATCGCAGCATCATAAGGAGAGACAGTGCAAGTGCTGTGGATGAGGATTCAGCTCAGTCCTAGGGAGGGGAAGTGACCGTCCAAGGTCCTGTAGGGTCTCAGAGATGACAAGACAGGCTGCAGAGTAGCTTGGGACAGGTGCAATAAGTCTGAAAGAGGGGAGGGGCAGGCCTGGCCACTGCTCCTGCTGTCACCAGGGGCTAGTGGTCACTGTGTCCCTGCTACTCTCTGCACCCCCCAGGCATCTCCCTGATCATGTGGAATGCCCTCTACACGGCTGAGAAGGTCATTATCCGCTGGACGCTGCTCACGGAAGCCTGCTACTTTGGGGTGCAGTTCTTGGGTGAGTCCTGAGGTGGGCATTGAGGAGGACTGGTTTGTTCCAGCCTCTAGTTCCTCCACTTCTGGCTGGCTGCTGCGGTTCACAGGGTGTGATGGAGAGCTGGCTGTGTATACCTGTGGACACACAGTGACCACCCACCTGTGTCCTTGCCCCTCCCCTACAAGTGCCCCCGTCCTCCTGTGCCCACCACTCACTGTGCAGCTGCCACCTGTGGGCGTGTTTATCCGCTGCTCTGCCACGCCTGCCAGGGGTGTTTGTGGTATGGGCAAGGAAGGGCAGGTCCTCAGCTCCCAGCTGGCAGGACCTGGGTCCCAGGAGTGCCCCAGGCAGTGTGGCACCCTGTGGGCAGCAACAAAGGCACATGCCCTCCCCTGACTTCTGTCCCCTCCTGCCTTCCTCCACAGTGGTCACTGCCACGCTAGCCGAGACGGGCCTCGTGTCTCTGGGGACCCTGCTGCTCCTGGCCAGCCGCCTCCTTTTCGTCACTGTCAGCCTTTACTACTATTACCAAGTCGGCCGGAAACCCAAGAAAGTCTAGCCAGGCCGGGGACCAGCCCGTGCCTGGGCCAGGGTGGCTCTGGGGCCTTGGCTCCCCTTTGGCTCCTGGAAAGCTGGAGACCCTGTCCTGCCCTAGCTGGCCCCAGGCAGGCAGGGGCACTCCTTTCCCTGGGTACTCCAGGACTCTGTGGTTTCCTGGGCATCCAGGATCCAGGTGTGACATGGGGTCTGGGGAGAGACGGGTCACTGCACAACATTCCTCACCTCACCCAGGCTCAACCCCCCACACCCCTTTCCTGGGCTCCCCTGACAGACACGGACTGGAGAGTGGTGTCCTGTGGGGTCTGGCTTCCTCTACCAGGAAGCCCTTCTCTCCTGAGAGGTCAAGCACCCCACCCCCAGCCAGCTTAGAGCCCAGGCAGCTGGTCTTGGCTTCTGTCTGTATGGAAGCCGGAGAATTTCTCCCTGTGCTTCTGCCCTTTTTGTCTGGGTCCTTCATACAAGCGGGGACTTCTGTACCAGAGCACACAGTGCACACGCACACATGCACCCCTTCCTACAGCCCGCTGAGGCCTGATGGTCAGAGGGCAAGCCTCCCTTAGACTTCCTGTAAGAATGGCTACCTGGAGCCAGACTGGTCCCACCCCAGGCTTGCTCACCTTTGTTCTCCTGGGAAACTCTAGGGTTCTCTGCCTAGAGGCTAACTCCCCCTGGAGTCTCTCCCCTGGTCTGGGGTCAGAGGTCACACCACAGGTCCCCTGAGAGATGGATAGGGGCAACCCCACAGGGAGGCTACTTAAGTGGTGAGGCTTGGAGAAGAGGAAAAAAAAGCAGTGGCATTTCCTTGTCCCTTGGCATGTCTTCTGAGGCCGATGTCTTGCCTGGCTCATCCACCCCTCCCCTCCACACACTCCTGCAACAATCCCTCCTCCTCTGGACCCCCTGGGCTGCCCCAATGCTTCCTGGGTAGGGCCTAGTGCCTCTCAAACTCCCCAGGGGAAGTAAACAAGTAGTTCAGCCAGTCTGTTACCTCCCCTCTGCCACCCCCCACATCCTGCAGAGGCTGATGGTGGGCTCCTGAGCGGAAGCACCCAGCCTGCCCCACCAGCCTGTGTGGTGTGCCTCCTGTTCCTTTTCCATCTAGCACTCATGTGCGCACCTGGGCATGACTGTCCCGTGTCCTGGGACAGGTGTGCTGAGAAAAGGGGCCTGGAACCCTCACAAATACAGCAGCTACTTTCTGGCTGAGCAGCGCAGGGAACTGCTCTCCAGGAAGGGCCTGCTGCTCTTTGCTGGCACCTGTCTCTTACCCTGACATTTGTGCCTCTTCCTGGAGTTCTGCCACCTGCTGCTGAGCCCTAGGCAGGCCGAGCCTGCTACCACCTCCCAAAGACAATGCCACCTGTGGGTCATACCTGAGCCCTGTCTGTGTCAGGCCTTGAAGCCTTGGCGGGTCCTCAGAGGGTGACAGATGGCTTGTTCTCCCATAGTTGCTGGGCACACTGTGGACTCCCCAGCAGAAAGCTCAAAGTGTGGTCTGGCCCTGGGTAGGACATTGGTGGGTCAAGCTGGCCCATCCTCCCCTCCACTGTGGGGTGGGAGGGTGGCCTGGCCTTATCCTTGGGTGGTGGTGAGGTCACACTGGGACAGGGATACCCTGCCACGGCTCCTTGGCTAAACTCTTCGGTAAAGCCTGCAGGTGGGGATGGTGCAAGGTCAGATCCAGTCTGTGGACTTGTTGCTCAGCATGGGCAGTGGGGGAGGAAGATTCATGTTCGGGAGGAGGCCTGTGACAGGAGAGGGACAGGCACTCATGTAGGCAGGACCCACCCTGCCTCTGAGCTGGGAAGTCCCGGACAGCCCCTCCCTGCTCCTTGTGCCAAGTGTCCGACCCAGCCCAGCCCAGCCCAGCCCAGAGGTAGGACCACCTTTCTTCACAGTCGGTCACTATTTATTCTTCGTTCCTTTTTCTTTTTGTAAGAAACAATCACAAAACCCAGTGCAAAACCATCGTGTGGGCGTCGTGTTTTATATTACAAAAACTTCTCGATATATAAAAAGGGACTCACAGGAGAGAAAAGTGATAAATTAGCTCTGTTCTACGGCAAGGAACATTTACAGATTGCAAAATAGACTTTCAAACAGATGACCCTGGGCAAGGGAGGCGGGGCTCCTGGGGAGGGGGCGCCGGGCCTGGCTGGTTTAGGGAGTCCTGTGTGGCACATGCACAGGGATAGACAGGGTCAGGCAGGAGGGGTGGTGAGTCTCAGCACAAAAGGCTGCCCTGGGAAGGGTCAGAGGAGGTCTCAGGTGTGGTTGTTGGGTCCCGGAGGGAGAAGTAAAAGGGACACCACTACCCATTCCTCCTCCTCCAGCAAACGGAGCCACCCAGGTCTTCTCAAGTTGGACTGGGAACCAACACAAGTCCCTTGGTCCTGGGACCTCAGCCTCCAGCAAGATCATGGGGTCGTTTGTGGGAATGCCAGAGCAAGCTGTCACAGGGACAGGATGGGTGGATGGAGGTCAGAGGCCCTGGAGAAAGTCCAGGACTGGTGGGGACAGCAGGAAGAGGAGAGGGAGCACATGGGAGGAGGGTCAGCATGACCCTAGTGAGCAGGCACAGCTGGCTGCGTCTCAGAAGGGGCAGGGGACAAAGGCAGGAGTGCCAGGCAGGAAGGAAGGGAGGCTGGAACTGGCCCAGGTTGCCAGTGGCTTATGAGACAGAATAGGCTTTTCCTAGGACCTGAAGAGGGACAGTAGAGAAAGGAGAGCGGGCATCATATTGTTCTGTCATCCCTGTGCCCATGGCAGATGTCGCTAATCAAACTCTATGTTTTGACAGACAGCACTAAAGAGATCCCCTGATCCAGACCAATTCTGGGATCCTTAGCACGGCTCTAGTGGCTACTCCTGATTGGTCATGGTCAAGGCAGCTCACAAGCCAGTTGTCATCCTGGTTAGTCTGAAGCCTGGTGTAAACCTGTGTTTCTAAAATCTCTGCCTGAGCCTGGAGGGAATGCTACAATGTCACATGGACAGCGAAAGGACAGGAAACGGTGTCACAGCAGAAGTGGCTGAGATGCCGTGGGGTTCATCAGGCTAGAGACAAGAGGGCCCCAGGGAGTCAAGATGTGACCTTAAACTCCAGGGAGGAGTGGAAGTGAGTGGGAGGCATGGACGGAACCACAGGGAAGCAGACCCTCTTCTGTCCTGGAGCTGATGCTAAAGTCAGAGCATCCAGAGGCAGAAGGCTGCCTCGGGAGGTAGTGAGCTCTCAGTCCCTGGAGGGATGCAAGAAGAGGGGGCAGGGGTCTTGCACAACACATCCAAGCCTCAGTTTTGGGGGAGGGGGAGGGGGAGCCAGATGATCTTGGGGGCTGCTTTCACTCTGAACACCAGGAGTTTGGGTAGAACAGGATGGGGATGGCCTGTGTGGAGAGGTGGGCAGAGAGGATCAGGGGATGTGATACATGTTCATGGGAGGGGGCTTGGACAGAGATATGGGGTGGACATAGTACAGAATTTTCTCAGCTTTAGAGCTGGAAAAGGGCAGTTCCTGGCCAGCTTGCCCTGTTTTCTGGGGTGCCAGGATGCGGAGGGGTGGGGTGTGTGAGCAGCAGAAGTGATAAGAATCCCGGATGGAGTGACAGCAGCTGGAGATGACCCAGGTTCTTGTCAGAGCTGTCTGTCATGCACGTGCTGTGTGATGATGGGCAGGCCACTGTCCCTCTCTGGGCAACAGATGGGAAAAGTAAGGGCTCTGCCAGTGGAGCCACTCCTGGATCCAGGGCCCACATGCAGCCACTCTTGGCCCCAGCTGGAAGCGGGGACGACTCCATCCTGGAAGATCAGAGATTGGGCCGTAGGCTCTGTGTCATTAAGGATCTGGCAAAACTGCCTCCTCAGGGCTCCTGGGGCTTGGGCAGCTTCTCCAAGACGCACTCACTTCTGCCTCCCTGAGGCTACATCCTCCCTGCCTTGGCCCCAGGGACCCAGGCCTGGGGACATCTGAGTCACGTTGGACCAAGGGGCCCTAGGACTGGTGTCCTTTGGTCGCCAGAGCAGACTGTATCCTGGGCCTCCTGGAGTGCAGGCATGGGCATCTCAGTCCACGTTTCTGTCTTCACTTTGTCTTACTAAAAAATAGCTATATGCCCCTGGCCTTCTGGCCATCCATGATGGCCTGCTCCTCCCCTGGGGCTGAGAAGATAGGGGAGAGGGGGCGCTGGGTACTGGGCGTGGTGGGCGGGGCAAGGTGCAGGCCACACCTACTGGATCCCCCGGAAGACGCACATGGCGAAGACCATGACAAAAAGCTGTAGAGAGAGCAGCAGTTGACTGGTTAGGCTGAGTCTGCGCCCCCAAGGTTGCCCACCCACTCCAGGGTAAGGGCCATCTTCCTCAGGGGACAATCCTCCTGCAGGGATTCCTGACATTCCCCTGGGCAAGCCCCTCTTGGAAGGGGGAAACTGAATCATGGGTTCAAATCCAGAACTCCCATTTACCATGGTGACTGGCCAAATTGCTAGCCTGCTCTTGGCCTGAGTGTGTACCAAGAGATTCCCACGTGCCAGGCTCACTTCTAAGCACGTTCTCAGAAACTGTTCCATGGATCAGGAAGTGAGGCACAGACCGGTGGAATAACCTGACTAAGGTCACGCAGGTGCAAAGGGAAGCGGGGTTTGAGTCCAGGCATACTGACCCCAGAGCCCCTGCTCCTAACCTAAGCACTCTGCTTCCAGCCTACAGGAAGGAGGCGACGTTTGAGTGTAAGACAGTTACCTAAGAACATAAGAGGCCCGCCGCCTAGAGGCGCTTAGTAGAGTTCCCAGGCAGAGCAGCTACAATCCTCCCATGGTCATGCATACAGTCCCCTGACTAAGGGACTCTCCTCTGACCAGATTTGCTGATGTCCCCATGGCCATAGCTCTTCTTGCAAGTAGCACAGGAAATAAGCCCCAGGCTCAAGGTTAAATTGCCAGGAGGCTCAGCAGGTGTGTGTGCGGGCGCTGGCTAGGGCCCCACCTTCAGCAGGAGTCACTTCACGAGGGGGCTCGTCGGCTGGGCAGTGCATCGGTTCACTGCCCTGAATCCCTGCCACACAGCAGGTATGCTGCTCTGTCCCCTGTGATCCCTACAGCATCTGCCTAGGAGTGGGCGAGAAAATTGGCTCAGGCAACCTGCAGAGAGGCAGAGCTGGGAGTCAACGTGTGCCGCTGCACAGGGTGCATTTCTGAGGTCTCCCCAGGTCCCAGGGCAGATGTCTGTTTCATCTCCCACAAAAAGACCCTGTTCACCTACAGCAGTCTTAGCATACAGTAGGGACTCAGTATATGCTTGTGGCAGGAATGAACAGTGCTTCCAACTGCCACCCCCTTGCAACCTTTACAAAACTGCTCTGGGAAGAAACCTGAGCAAGGTGGTGTGTGTGATGCCAGGTGCCCAGGATGCTCCTGAAGGGGACCCTACAAGGCAGGAGGGGGAGGGAGAGGATCAGGCTGCTTGACTTCATTGTCCTGCAAACCCAGGACTAGCCGGGCCCAAGTACTCACTCCTGGAGATGGACCCAGGGAAGGAGTGAGCAGCATGCCCAGCTTCCTGGAGGAGCCTGTTTAACACCCCTGAGAGGGAAGGCAACGGATGGGACTCCACCTTCTTTCTGCTGAAGCGCCATCTAGTGGTAGCTCCAAGCTCTGCAGAGTGTCTCCTTTTGAGGGAGCACTGAGGCCCTTGGGCACAGAGGACCATTGTGAGGTTAACATCCCCCAGGGAAGGGGCCTGATCTAGAAGCACCTTCAAAACAGCCCACTGATCCACTGACGTGCACCCTGGGCTTTGGAGCTGGGGTGGAGTGAGGGTGACTCAGGGTCTGCCTAGCCTTACTGCCAGGAGACTGGCTCAGGTGTGTCATTTCCAGGGTCCAAGGTTGACTCAGGCAGCAGGTAGGTGCAGCTGGACACTGACAGTGCTTGCTAGGGGACTAAGGCAATGAATTGGGGAGGCAGGCTGTGGGGTACAGGCCACAGGTCTGCCCAGGCTCTGTTATACTTCCTTCTTGCAGCAGACGTGGGACCTCACTCACCTCGACAGCCAGCACCCCTATGGCGAGGGCTCCAGCCAGGTAGACATAGCTTTCGAAGGCACTGAGGATCACCGTGTAACACCCCTGGGAGAGAAAGTTCACAGATGAAGACATAGCCCTGAAGGATAGTCTGGGGCCAGGGGTCTGGTGTCAGCACTGGGGTCTGTGGCATGGAGCCCCAGGGCTCAGGGACAGCAGGCTGACCCCGTGACACTGCTGTGAAGATAGAATGGTGAGGAAGAGGCACAAGACCTGCAAACACGGTGAGTTGGTGGTGTTACACCAAAGCCCCTCCTAACTACGCCAAAAACCACCAGCTAGGGCCAAAGCAGCCACAGATTTAAAGTGTCTCCTACGGCGACTGGAATATTGGGAGTTTCCCCATAAATAGCCTGACTCCCTGGTGCTCTTGAGAAATTAGGAGGGACAGTGTGGTGAGCCAGGTCAGCTGGGCTTTCCACGTCAGAACCACCAGCAGCGCTCCCCTGGGATGGGACAGGTGCTCCCCGGGGGAGCCACAGTACCCCTCAGTGTGACCCATTTCCTTCCTCATGACCTGGCTGCTGAAGGGTTTCTGAGTTTCAGCCTCTGATCTAAGGAGACATCTCAGCCTTTAAACCCAGCTCACCCCTCTGATCAAACAGCCCTCTAGGACCAGCCCCAGGGTCCTCCATGAAGACTTAGCTCTTCGGCTATGCTGCTTTCCCGAGCCTCCTGGGGACTCGGGGGAAGGGGCACAGGTTCTGTCAGTCCATGACTGCTACCTGTAGCACTGTACATACATACACACACATATATTTGGTGGTAGTTGGGTTTGAATTCAGGGCCTCGTGCTCACCAGGCAGGTGTTCTGCCACTGAGCCATACCCTCAGCCCTGAATGAGATCTATTTTTAAAAGGTGAGAATTTTCTTTCATAAGAACCTGCATATTCTTAGGTCCCAGCCAGAGGACCTACAGGGGACCAAGTCCCTGGTGTTGGAGTAGGGAGGAAGGTCCTGCCCCTTCCTTGTTGGGTGACTACTCTGTTGGCACCCAGAATTTGGATGTTCGCACCCCCGTGTTGTCCACCACCCCAGCCTGGCCTCATTGGCCAGAAGTGGAACTGGGGAGGCTGTCTCCCAGGCAAGGAGACAGCAGGGCCTGACCTGAGAGCAGTGCCATGATACCTGCCTATGGTGGGAAGGGAGGGACGTGGGATCAGGTCCTAGGAAGGGATGCTCCTGATCTCTTGTATCCCCAGTGTGCCGCCTGCCCACTGGGGCCAACCACAGGCAACCAACACTGCTGCCCTATGCTCCCAGCACACCCCAGGTGTGAAAGGGTATCTGCACTGTCACTTGGTCCTTAGCACAGCCCCCTGGAGAACGGCTTCCCTGCACTTCACCTGTGGGAAAAGGCCAGGAGAAGGCAGGTGCGGGCCTTGCTCCAAGGCACTGGGAAGGCTTGTTCTGCCTCAGGTGGTCCAGGCCCCTGGCACAGATCCAGAGCTGTCTACACCCCAGCCCCAACTGCCACCTCAAGAGGAGGAGAAGCTAGGGAGCTGCAGGAGGGGACCATCTTTCCCCAGCTGCCACCCAAGTGCTCACTAGCCATGCTGCTGTCACCAGCTCCTGTGCTCTCTCTCTGCAGGGAGGGAACACCTCTACCCCTGCTCTCCCACGGGCACCCCCAGGCCAATGTGACAAGGGCAGTTAGACCTAGTGGCTACCACAATGACTACCTTCCTATAGAAACTCTATAGGAAAAGACCTCAGGGACCTCCTAGGCTTCAGCCCATACACCCCACTTCCTACTCGGAGTCCTGACTAGGATGTCCAAAGGCATCTCACATTCCACATGTCCCAACCTGACTCGAGATGTCCCCAACCTAGACCCTACTTTGCATCCCTTTTCCCACAGTGACCTATCCCCGTCTGTAGCTCCCGCCTCTGGCACATTATGCTCTCTCACTGCCATCACCCTGGTCCAGCCCAGCATCCTTTCTCCTTGGGGCCAGTGTCCACCCAGGGCCGCCTCTAACCCCCAGGCAGAGAGTATCTGACATGGTCACGTCCTCCCCAGACCCATGAGAACCCAGCTCTTCCAGCTGCCTCGCCTTGGCCTGTGGCTGAATTGCAAATGCATCCTGGGCTTCAGAGAAGGGAGCTCAGGCAGAGATAGTCCTGGGAGGAGGCTTTTAACAGGGAAAGGCTCAGCGGGGACAGGAGTGTCAAGGAAGCCAGCCCAGGAGCCCATCTCATTGAGCCCCAGGAGGAACAGCCATGGTGGCAAAGAACCAGCTTTGGCTGTGGGAGGCCTCTGCTGAGATGGCAGGAGGCATCCTCCTGGGGAAGGCTCTAGAAACGGGAAGCATGTCTGAGGAAGCCTGAAGGACCAGGGCCCTGAAGAGCCTCCCTGAAGTTTGCTAGTGACATCAAAAGGGTGGCAGTCAGGGTATGGGACCAGAAAATAGCATCCCCTTCAAGTTAGAAATGCCTTTGCCTGTCACATCAAATCCTGAACTGCAGTGGCTCTCTGCTTCACGGGGCATCAGTGACCTGGCCTCTTTCTTTCTAGATGCTCCGCCATCCTAGGGGCTCACTGTCCTCTGCAAGGTGCCAGATGTCTCGTCACTATGCCACAGCTGAGTTCCAGCCCGGGAAACACAGGAGGAGCAGGCACAGCATGTTCTCTTAAGGATGAGACTCAGCTGCCCCTATCACCTCTGCTCACTTCTGTTTGGCTAGAACAGGGTTCCACAGCCCACTGCAATGGAGGCTGGGGGACAGACAGAACCTCTGCCTGGTGGTCCTGGGCTCTGACAAACATTCTCCTTCCCGAGAAGGGGATGGAGTGTGGGGGACAGTCAGGAGTCTTGGTGACTGTATGTGTGGGGTCTTCGGTGAATGGGACAGAGTAGGGAACAGCCCAGGCCTGCCTGTCATTGAGTACCCCCATCCTGCAGCTACCTCCCACAACTCTCTGTGCACTTGACTCCTGGGGTGGCCCTCACTGTCACAGCGGACACCAGGGCCTTTGTGCTTTGTATTCTCTTTGCTCCCATGTAGGACAGCAGGGCTGTGTGGACAGAGGGAAAGTGCTCTGTGGCCTCCTGAGTCCTTTGGTCTGCCCCTGGCAGGTGCAGGGGACAGAAGTGCTGAGTTCCTGGAGCCAGACTGAGGCTGCAAAGGGCCTCACCATGTCACAGGGGCCAGGCCCCACCGCAGTAGCTACCTCTTCCTGGGCTCTGAGAAGCCCACCCTGAACTCCGCCCCAGGCACAGCCCAGTCCCTGGTCACCATAACCACTAGAGACGATCATGGTTCTTTTGATTGCCCTGGTTCACCATGTGCTCTCTGTCCCTAGACTAACGTTTAGGAGCAGTGCCATCTCCTGTGCCCCATAGTATCTGGAACACTCCCAGGAACACCTCTGTGAGGCCTGAGTTAGCTTGCTCCTCCTCTCCTTCCCTCCCCCAACTGCCCTGCCAGATCTCACCACACACCGGAGGGGAGAGGTCTCTGGCTAGCAGGAAGGCAGGGGACCATGGTCAAGGGTGCTGTGTGTCTCTGGGAGGGGGGACAGAGTTGGGGTCCTTGTTTCTCTTGAGGTGGTACATGCTGGAAGGCTGAGATAAAATCATTAGGTTGCAAAGAGAAGTCTAGAAGCTTCCCTAACCTTGGAGGGGCAGGTCAGGGAGACCTTGATCCGTCAGGACCAGGGGGTGCCACCTGGCAAATGTGAGCTTCCTCTCAAGTAGAGTGCATGGCTAAGGGAGCCTCCCCCACTGTAAGCCCCCCACTGCTTCTTCCCCCTCATCTCCCTGATCTGCATTATCAGAGGCTCAAAAAAAAAAAAAAACACTGGAAAACTCCTACTCACACCTGAACCCCAGTCCCAATGTCTACTCCAGACTGGACCAAGTCCATCTGCCACTCTGATCCTCCCCTCTTTGTTTGGATCTCAGGGGCTCAGGTAGACTCTCCATCAGCCCCTGTTCGGGACAGGAGCCCCCACTACACAACCAAGCCCTCCATGAGCTTCTGAGCCTCCCCCCAGTTCCACCTTCACCTCCAGGTGGACTGGCCCCCCTGCCCAGGGAGCCTTGGCACCTGTTTGTTTATGAATAGGCTCTTCCCCCGCAGGCAGTCTTCCCTGCTCAGCAGCACCCCATCCCGAGCCTGGGGTTCCCTCCGGCAGCAGGCCTCTGGCACCTCCTCACTGTCCTGAGTCAGCAGTCGAAAGACCGATGCAAGCTTGAAGTCCTCAGGTCCATTGACTCCACAGCAGCCAAACTAGGGGGGAAGCAGAGAGGAGGAGTTGGGGCCAGGCCAGAGGAGTGGGTCAGGAGATCCATGTGGCCTGCTCTCCTCCCTTCTGTGTGACTGCAGGAAGGTGACTTGCCTATCTGAGCTTCAGTGTCCTGTAGGAGGAGGTGGGTGGGATAAACATTCCTACCTCACCGGGCAGCTGGGAAGCACTGGACAGACGGTTGCTATGATGTCAACTTGGGGACCCAAGTTAGGAACAGCAAATAGGTTTCCTGCTGTTTGGACGGTGATCTACTAGCCATGGGAGGCCAGCTCTGGGCTTGGTGGGAGAGTTTCGATTGATTATTGATGTCTGGAAGGGGTGGGGAGGGCTCTGGAGGTCAGGGGTTTACTGCCCAGGGCGTCCTGGCTCTGAATGTCCACTACATAGGTGGGGACACTCACTGTGATCATGACAGAGTTCCAGGTGGCAGAGAAAACGTCCGTGTCATTATTGCCCTGGTAGTGCTTGGTGAGCTCCTTAGTGAAGAACTCACGGGTGAGCTGGGGGCGGAGGAGAGGAAGCTGAAGCCCGAGGCTGGGTGCGGACCCTCCAGCCCTCGCCGCCAGCCATCACCTCCCGCCATCGCCTCCCACTCTCTGTGGGAGGGAGAGGGAGCCAGGGTCTCCCATTCCCGTCCCTGGGCCTGGCCTCCCGATCCTCCTGAGTGGCTGACTTGGGCAGGTCCTTCTACCTCCCCAAGGCCTGTGCTCCCCCCATTGTCAACATTGGCTCTGATGTGACGATGTGACAAGGACATCTGTACAGGCTTGCCTTGGCTAACCCTTGGCCAGAGCATGGTGGCAGCCTCACTGGGCCCTGCAGCTCTTCTCTGAGGAAGGATTTGTGGGTTATGGCGAGGTGCCCCTTGCCCACTCCTTCAGAACCAACAGATGCCCTGGGCCAGTCCTGAAGAAGGAGTGCATGGGACACTGTGGAGCCTTTAGTCCTTCACTGTCACTCTTTCCCCCAGGTCTAACGCCCCCTCCCACTGCAGTGAAAGGATGGGGCCTGCAGGTGCCCAGCACAGACCCCTGAGCCCCAAATAGGCTGCCACCACCTCCCTCAGTGCCTCTTCCCTACCTCTCCTCCTGCTCCTGCTTGGCGTCCAGGCCCCCTTTAGCTGTGTGGCACCCTGCTCTTGTCAACTTAAGGGACAAAGCCAATGCCTCGGCTGTTGGAGCTTCTGGAATAAGTGTCCCGTGGGGCAAGCTGCCCAGAAAGGGTACCAGCCAGGGCCTGGCATGAGAGGTCTCTGCCCCAACAGGCTTCTATACACACTCATGCCAGGCCAGCCTCCTGACCACCTGATTGTGTGACAGACACCTGTCACCAGGCCCTCTACAACCAGGGTGTGCACATGCGAAGACTCCAGGATCAGGCATGGGTTTGCCCCAGAGACCCTCAGGGCCTCCTGACTGTGGCCTTCTAGAAACTTCTATGCAGAAAGTTCTCTGGGTTGCGGGGGCCTTGCTGGGCAGGTGGGTCACACTCAGTCTGGCAGCACTGGCTGAGAGGCAGCCAGCTCTGTGAGACCATTTGAGGGGGGCAGGGGCAGCCCGAGTGCCAGCAATGCTACACGGGTGCCAGGTGGTGGCAGAGCCAGGCCTGTACGTACATTTTCCCTGAAGATGAAGGCCAGGATGGCTGCTGAGAGCTCTGCCAGGAAGATGATCAGGATGAACATGAAGAACTGCAGAGAGAGGGGAGATGTGTGAGCCCTGAGGGGGGCGGGCAGAGGACAGGACGGCAGGGGACAGGACGGCCACTCCAGTGGGCACCCTTCCATCTGTCACGTGGAGCCATCCTTGGAGTAAACAAGGATGAATAAAGGCAAATATGCCTTCCAGGTAAATGGTGCCCCTGACCCCTGAGAGAGGCTCTTTTGTGCAGTGTGAAATCTGAACAACCCTACCTGGTGACCCTGGAAGGAGGTGGCTGCTGAACCACACTGAGGCTCCCTCCAGGTGGACTGACCAACCTGTGGGAATCCTGAGTGTTTGGGGATCCCAGCCTGACTTTCTCCATCTGTCAGCCCCACTTCCTGCCTGTCTGCCTCTAGTTCTAAGGGGTTGGAGGGAGGTCTCCAGCCAAAATGGAGGTGCGAGATCAGAGGGCAGGTGGTACAATATCAAAGTGTACAAATCCAGGGCTGAGTCTGACACCTTACACAGAGCTCCTCTGTACTCACTGAGCTTGATACTTCCCAGATTGACCAGGAAACTCTCGTAGGGCTCCCCTTCCTTGCCCACCAGGTTGGACCCCATCCCCTTCCCAGCAAGATGATGTTCCTGACTCCCCAGGCAGGGGTGGCCTCCCTCCTCTGGCTTCCCCGCCAGTGTCTCCATCGGGTCACGAACATAAGGGGCTGTCGCCCAGCACACTGCGTTCCCCCTACAGGCCCAGGAGTGTGGCTACTGATCCCCAGCTGCTACACAAGTGAGTGAGCTTTTGAGAGACAACTTGCCAGGATGACCTCGCAACTTGCTACATTTTGGGCCCAGCTCTTAAGGGAACCCTATTTTGGGCTGAGGGCTGAGGGCAGGAGAGGAAGCTGGTGCCTTTATATTTACAAAGTTCCTATCTCCCCACCTGCAAGGACTTACAGGAGGTACACACAAACTGCCTCCTACCACCCTCCCAGCTAGTGGGCGACCACTCCGAGACCTCAAAGTCACAGCATGAACTGGTCATGCTGTACTGGAAAGAGGCAAGGGTGCTGGGCTTAATGTCAGGCCACTGCCGGTCCCTCCTTCCTAGCACTGTGTGATCTGGGACAATCATTCAAACCCCTTGGAACCTTGGTTTCCTTAGCAATAAAATGGGGCTGATGACACGCCTGGGGATTGTGGTGGGGATCGATGACACAGGATAGGAAGGTGTTTTGGATGTTGTAAAAGTACCCTAGTAGAACTTGCCACTGAACTGTGACAAGTGCAGTATTGCCAGTCAGAAATGAGCCAGAAATGAACTGAGCCTGGCTCCCACCACACACTGATGAGGCTGCCAGGGGTTTCTGTCCTGGAAGCATCTCTTCCAACCAGAGGCTTTCTGTCACTTTATCTCCACCCTGGGGAGACCCCAGGAGAGACTCCATGTTCTCTCCCTGGCTTTTCAGCTCTGACAGAAACTGCTCTGTCTAGGTCCCAAACTACTGGGCCATGAACACTTTAGGAAGAGCTGAGGAATGGCTTTGGGAATACTTGTCCAAGACATGAAAAAAAAATATCCCCTAGACCTGTTTGATGGTATCTTTTCAATGTCTGAACCCAAGGAGAAGGCCCTGTTCAGCTTGATCCCTGAATGCACTGTGGGTCTGTTTCCTCTTTGCCCCTCCTCTGCTCACTGTCTGTGACTTCCAGCTCTTGACACTGCTGCTTGCCCTGCCCCTCTGCTGTCCAAAGAGCTCACCCAAGGGGTGATGTCTGTGTAGTAGCCACTGTATGCAATGTGGGAGGGGGGGACCCGGACTGGAGGGCAAAATGGATCATCCAAAGGCACAAAGGTTGAGAAGTTCCAAGCTCACTCAGCTGTCTGTTTGGAGCCTCCTGTTACCTCTGCTTGGAGTAGGTGTGCCTCAGAGATGGCCCGGCAGGTCAGTGGACAGCCTGGAATGTTTTGGTGACAGGTTGTCTCCAGACAGAACTCCTGCACTTCCGAAGTTTGGGGTGATCTTGGACTGAGGTCAGGGAGCAGACCAAGGTGGGCAGAGGGCCTCCTGGGCCTGGGGCCCTGACCACAATAACCCTACTTCATTCTGTCACCTCCAGGCCCCTCACTTCCATGGGCCTGGTTGGCTCTTGGGCTGAGTGGCTACTGGGTGATGGATGCCCCACCTCTGCATCCTCTCCTCCGCCACAACAGTGACAGAGGACCCTGGCAGGGTCCATTTGGCTTCTAATTGGCTGGTGAATGGTCATCTGGCTCCATTTCACATGGCCTCACAAGGGGCACCTCCCTGCCCTCTGCTCTCCTCTAGCTGTTGGCAGGTTCTCAGGTTGGCTAGGATCAGCCCCGGACATGGTTTCTATCCACAGTGATGTGCCCAAGCTGGCAGTGGCTGCAACCGTGGCTGAGTCAGTTATAAATTATGGATGAGACAGATCGCGCCTGTGGACACTCTGTGCTCATCACTCGGGCATGAGCACGATTCACGATGACTTTGCATGGCTTCAACAAGGTCATGCAGGTGAAGAGCCCTGTCCAAGACAGCAGGATGGAGGAGCTGTTCAGACAGCCACTGAAAACCAAGGGAAGCATGGCATGGCATGCTGAGGACACACGCTGGCATGGTTGTGGATGCTCTCCAGAATACAGCAGTAGCTACCGTTGCTTACTATACACTGGACACTGTGCTGCACAGGCACCTGTCCTCTCAGCAGCCAGGACACAGGTGCGCTGACAGCTGCAACTTCCACAGTTTACTGAGGAGTTTGTGACTCTAAGAGGAGTTGTACTTTGCCCAAGCTGGAATGGCTGGTGAGTGTTGTCATCGGGACTTAAATGCAGCCTCTTAGCACCACGTTATCCCAAAAGCTGTATGAGTGAATTTCTGGGTCTTACAGCTTGCTGATGGCCTGTAGGATCTCTTATGGGCCAACCCTGAATCAATTCATTTGCATTTCTCAAGTGCATTTGTGAGCTAGGGCTAAGTCAAGGTACCCTATTTCTTGTTGGGTCATGACACAACACTGTAGCTGGGAAGGAGATGTGGTCATCCCTGTCTTACACAAAGAATCTTAGGTTCAGCTAGGTTAAGTTACTATCCCCAGGAACACAGCCTAGACTCCAGAGCTTGTGCTCTTTCCCACACCTCTGATATGGCCTCCTTGTTTCTTCATCCAGGGCTATTTCTTATTGACCATCTACTCTCAGGCACTGGAGGACACACACATGCAAGACAGACATAGTCCCCACCCTGTGGACTTTGCCTTGAGCTGAAGTATCAGTAGTGAGAGGAACCTCGTGGGCCAGGGAAATTAGCCTCCCCAGAGCAAAGGGGTCTGCAGACCCTCCCTCCCATTGCTGCAGCAAGAACAGGGTCTGCCCAAGCCAGGTTGGAGCGTGAGTGCAGACTATGTGCAGAAAGTGCAGAGAGTGGTGCTCACAGCAGTAACAATGCCACTTCTGTCACCTTGTGCCTCTCCAGCATGAAATGACTTCCTTCTGCTCTGCACGGCTTCCTTGCTGTTATTTGTGGACTTCCCCTGGACCTGGCCACAAGGCTGCCCTCGGTCAGGGCTTCCCTGGGGCTCCTCGCCCCGAGTTGATCAACCTCATTGCATTTGTCTTAGGACACACTTGCCAGTGATACTTGAACGTCTTTGCTTGAGGTGGAAAATGAAGAAAAGAGGCAAAGCTGCTCTTTGCCTGCTTGTGAGCATTTCTAGGATTTTCTAACCCATCTGCCTACGGGCAGCGTCTGCTTTCAGTTCTCCTCTCTAATAAATATTTACCAATCTGCATACTGCATGTACAGCTCAGCTCGTTTATCTTTTAAACACTCTCATCATCTCATTAGGCTGCTTTCTTTTCCAGTTTAACATGCCTTTGTTAAAAATATTTTAAAAATTAGGACCTTTAAGCCAATTGTCTGAAAAGGCTCTTCTTGAGATGCTTAAAGATGAGCAAAGAGGAAAAGAGGGCAACACAAAGCTGTCACAATAGGTACTAATGTCCTGTGGCACGCAAGTATCTGAAACAATTCATGGGGCTGCAGGACGCATCTTTAGGTCAGCTGATTATTGCTCTCCTGACTGTCCTGATGCCCTGTGGGTTCTCAGCCCCAGAGCAGTGCCAGCAATGCTTGGCTACACCATCTCCAGGCCTCCTCGCTACAGACTTTTGAGCTGGGGGTCCTAAGGTGGCTAAAGTCACATTCTCTCTGTCCCTTCCCTTCCAGACTAGCCTTCCCTCCTTCCCAGAAGACTGAGGATGAAGTCAAAATGTCTGAAGGACTCAGAGGCCACCCGGGGTGAGACTTTGTGCCCGTCCTCAGCTGGAACCAGTACACAGCCAGCTTTACACTGGGAAAAATAATTGGTTCTTATTTTTTAGGTCATGAACTTTTGGGGGTGGGGGAAGTATTGAGGTTTGAACTTGAGGCCTTCTGTTTGCCAGGCAAACAATCTAGCACTTTAGCCACACTCCCAGTCCTCTTCAGCTTTAGTTATTTTTCAGGTAGGGTCTTGAGTTTTTGCCTGGGGCTGGCCTGAGATCTTGATCCTCCCGATCTCTGTCTCCAGAGTTGCTGGAATTACAGATGTGTGCCACCATGCCTGCCCTAATGAACCTTTTTGAAAACCTTCCAGAAGCTTCAGTGCCCCTCTCCAGAAGCAAACACGTATTTATCCCTCAACACACACACATATACCCCACACATGCATACACACATGTATATGCACACAGTCCACATATACATGTACACCACAATGTACATGTACACACAAAATGCACACGATGTGTACACATGTATGCACACATGTGAGGACAAACACTCATGCATTATGCAAAACACACGTGGGCAATGCACAAAAAGTGCAGCACACATGCACGCATTACAGAGCGTGCATGCACACACAACATGAACATGCAACACACACACATCCAGTGCACACACACCAGTGCCTGATGTAATGTTATGCACATGACTGTAGGAGGCCTTTATACATCTGACTGGGTTCTAGATTAGGGTTCCGCATGAGTCCTGCTCTGGGAGACAGGAGCCTGGGTCTAGGGATCCCCTGCCGCTGACCAGTGCTGACCTCAGGTTCGTGTGCACTAGGCTTGAGAGGAGTGCAGGGAGGAGCAGGGGAGAAAAGGAGCAGGGGCGAGGAAAATGGGGGGAGTGAGGAAAGGAATCAGGACTAGAAACAAAGAGAGGCAAGGAAGGAGAGGCAGAGAGAGGGAGAGAAAAGAAGGGACCATACCGAGATACCCAGATTAAAGAAGAGACTGAGGAGGCAGAAGAGGAAACGGGAGGGGCTCTGATCAGAGTGGGGATAGGACCCCTGCCCCCGCAGCCTGGCCTTTGTTCTCACTGTTTCACGGAGGATGACTTTGGGCAAATCTTGCCCTGTCTCTGGATCTTGATGTCCTCCCTAAGCACCTGGCTGAGTGGACATCCTGTCCAACTGGCAGGCTCCCACGGACTTCTGACTTGGGAGGCAGCAGAGCCCGGCCTACTCCAGCCAAGAGCACAGGCTGGCTTCCTGTCTTGGCTGCAGGGATGGGACCATTGGCAGTGAATGAGTCCCTGGTGGCTGAGGTGAGGAGGGGTAAAAGGTAGGTCTGCTGTATCTGGGGACCCAAGTTCCAGATCCTGTTTAAAGCCCCCTGGCTCTCCAGCCAGGACTCAGTGTACAAACTGCTATGGTAGGGGAGTTTGGCCAGGGGGCGCTCAAAGCTTCCTTGGCCTCTCCCAGTGAAAACCTCACAGCATCCCCACCCTGGAAAGACGAATGGTCCCAGAGCTCCTCTACTGCTCATCCCACAGCTGATTGCATTTCCTTTCTGGGATGTGAAGCATCTCACCATTGCATGAATATGTACCATACCAGGTGCTGTAACCTGGCAGGCGGCATTGTGCCAGATGTTTGGACTCCCTGCACGGCTGGGTGCTCGTCACCGCAGGACAGATGGCATCCAGCTGACCAGCTCAGGTTGCTCTGTAACTGAACCCAACTTGCCCACCCCCGAGAAGTATCTGCAAGGTGAGCCAGTCACACACTGGCTGCCTTGAGCAGAGACCACGCACCAGGGCTGGGCTCAACCCTGAAGTCCTCCTAGCTGGGTGCCGTAGAACCTCTTAGGGAAGAGGAAACCTTCCACAAAGGCTAGGAGAATGAACTTTGGCCAAAGCACCAGAGCCCGTGGAATCCAAAGAAAGAAACACCCACTGCTCACCCAGTTTGGCCGAGCTGGGCAGTCCCATGTTTGACAGACAAAGACCCTAAAGCTCAGAGAGGTTAAGAAACCCACCGATAGGGAACAGGACAGGGTGCACACTGGGACTGAGGTTTGCCTCTTGTCCAGCACATCCTCTTAGGCTTGGCCACCTCTCCTATCCTGGACACAAGGGGACGGTCACTCCTGGCCTTGATGCATCTTCAGCACCCATAATAGGAGCACAGGCCTATTATCTCATGAGTTTGAACTTGAGAAGCGGATACCGGAAGGTGAATTATCCGTCCAGCAGCATCTCAGCTGTGTTACTAAGGAGTTCTACACTAGGGGTTTTGAAGGAAAACAAGTAGAAAAGGATCGTGGTCAATGTCAGTGTTCTCAGTAGATCACAACTTGAGAAGTCTGGCTGCTCAGACCCAAAGGCCAAGGCCACTCTGTGCTCAGGGCAGCCCACCACCCTAAGCAGGCAGAGGCACAGTACAAAGGCAAGTGGCAGATGCTAGGGACCACCTTGACCCTAGAGGAAAGTCACCGGACTCAGACCTCATGGTGAGTCTTTGAACATGGACATGGACTGAGCATGCAGTGGGCACATCCCCTGGCTTTACTCCATCAAAGGAAGTAGTGAAGTCCAGCAGGAGGGAGGTCGGGGAGGAGGGCTGCTGTGAGAAGTCAGCTCCCAGAGCCAGACATGGTGATGCACGCTTTTGATGCTAGCACTCGGGAGGCTGAAGCAGGAGGATCGGAAGTTCCAGACTGGCTACATAGTAAGACTGTCTCAAAAAAAAAAAAAAAAAAAGAAGCCAGCTTCCAGAGGCACAGTGAGGAGGTCCCTGGACAGTGCAGGGCATGTCAGATCTCACTTGTAATCCTCTGTCACCAACTCCCTGCAGGACTTGGGAAAAATCACTAGACAGCTCAGGGCTTCAGACCACGGCCTATGAATAACATGGGGCTAAATCCACTGATTGACTTTGGATGGTCCCAAGATCAGGAAGGTCTCGGTTTCAGAGCAGAAGCCAAGGCGGGGCCTGGGAGTCAGCAGCCTCCACCTCCTGCCGCAGCTCCCCGAGGTGGTGGGGACAGACTACTCACAAACAGCAGCAGACACTTGTTCTCACGGATGGCTCCGCAGCAGCCCAGGAAGCCCAGTAGAAACAGCAGGCCGCCCATGGCCAGCAGGATGTAGGCGCCCGTGATGAGCAGGGGGTTAGCGACCACGATCTCCCGGAATCCAGTGGGGTCCACCATCACCCAGATCCCGATGCCCAGCAGGCAGGCCCCTCCCAGCTGCAGAGGGAGGAGAAGAGGCAGGGAGAGGTTAGACCCCTCCCATCCCCCTCTGGGGCCTGCAGTGTTGGGCAGGGGCACCACTTGCTGTAGGAGCCCAGGTCACCATAGTGCTGTCACTTTGAACTTCTCCACTTCCCTGACCTGTGGCTCAGAAGGTCAGAGATGCAGCTGGCATCCTCTCATCTACCACAGGCCCCTGGGGACCACACCCTGTTGTTTATTTGCAACTTTTATATGCTCTGTAAATGCCAGAGCTGTGGGACTATGAGGTCATCTTGTTCAATTCTGTGATTACACACTGAGGCCCAGAGGGGGCCAACCACTTGATGAAGGTCACACAGCAAATTCAAGGCAGCATCTATGAATGTGGACTGAGACCTACCTTGAGCTGCACCAGCCATGCTAAGAGCTAGGAAAACACAGATGAAAGCCAGTGTCCTCAACGGGAGCTCTCAGTGAGGTCCCACTCTTAAATCTGCAGCTTGAGTGCTTTCTTCTTTGTGCCTTTGTCTGCACAGGTCATCTCTCTCCATGCCTTACTTATCTTGGGGGAGAAGCAGTTTAGTTCAGAGAAAGGGCTGTGCCTCTTAGCTGGGTGACCTTGAGTAAGTGACTTAACCTTTCTGAGCCTCAGCTTCCTCATGGTTAAGAGGACATTTGGATGGAATGGGTGCTAACAAGTTTAGCAGATTTCAGTAAGTACCTATTCTGTTTGTCTTGGGCACAGACAAGTATTGAAAATGGGTCCGTTATGGACAGAACCAATGTCTGATAGGATTGGATCAGCAGGCTGACAGTGTTTGAGGTCCCTTGGTGGGACAGGAGGTCCCCAGGCCCCAGGGGCACGTGTGTGTGAAGAATGGCAGATGAGCAAGAGGCCATTGCTGGTTTTGGCTCAGTTAAGTGAGTCTCAGAGCCAGGCCATAGGGCGGTTCCAGAAGGTTGGGGCCATTTGCAGGTAACTTGGGGTAGTACAAAGTGGAGAGGTCTAAGGAGCTGCGGGGATAAAACAGGGAGGCAAAGCAGGAGTGACCAGTGACAGTGACGGGGTAGGGAGGTCATGCCACCTGCTGCACCATGTTCTTCTCCTCTGTACCCCCACAAAACCTCCAGAGAAGCCGCTTCTATTGTTATAAGTAGTGTTATAACCTTCTACTAAGTCTGGATAAGGAGGACCTGGGCATGAGAGAGGGGGGTGACACCGGCCTGGAGAGCTGAGCTGGCCCAGGCCACCAGCTTGGAAATTGGTACAGCTGGTCTAGAATTCAGATTGGCTGGTCACTGGGCTCTAGGAGGGCGAGGCAGGGAACAGAACCCAGAGGAACTGCTGAAATGTATGAAAAATACACTCTCTCTCAGAGTGGCCCTGTCCTGAGGGACCTGCGGAGGTCTGTCTACCCAGGGCTTGGCTGGGTATGGTCAGCAAGGCTGGGGCAGGGGGTGGGGGTGGGGACAAAGAAGCTGGGAACATGGCTCTGCTCCCGGGAGGGGCACAGCCTGTACAGGACCCCCAGTGGGCTGCCAGCAGCAGGGTGGCCACCTACTGCCTACAGCCTCTGTCCCTTCATCCACACCGTCCAGGGGTTGGATGGAGAAGGAGCTAACCTGCTGAGAGCCCATCAGAGTCCAGGCACTTTGGAACTAATCTTGCTTAATTTTCAAAAGGCCTGTGAGGTAGGAGATGAGCAGCCTGAAGTCCAGAGAGCACCTGAGTTTTGAAGGCGCAGAGCTGGGGTTTGAGGGGCTCTCTTCCAGAGAGACTTCCAACTACATAAATGCCTACGGGACTCAGCCCTCCTGCACTGAGGGCTACCATCTGCTCCCTGGGAAATAGGCTTGGATGAGCCCCCTCTTGCCACCCTCTGGTCACCCCCATCCCTTCCTTCTCCCCCACTCCCACAGGGCCAGGCCTGAGCCCTGCCCTGCCTTTGCCAAAGGCCGACCCATCCCAGGGAGTGCAGGGAACATCTCTACTCTGAGGGGGGGGGGCTCCTGGAATGCATGCAGGGTTCCCTTCCAGGAAAGGCTGCTAGGCAGGTGGGGCTACCTCCTGCACTTGCTCCCCCTCCCCCCCGACCCCATGTGGTGATGATTTCAAGGCAAGGGCCCGGGAGACCCCAAACACTTACAAAAATGAAGAAATTGAAAACGAACATCAGGTACTTCATGCAGCTCAGGCAGTCTCCCTCCATGGTGCTCCTCCTGCAAAAATAAGGCCACCTCAGTCCTCCCACTGGGGTCCCAACCAGAGGGGGCTCAGCCCCACCCCGGAGGGGCAGCAGCTAGCCCCATCCTCGTCCTCATAGCCTGTGGAAGAAGAAGGAGACAGAATAATTCCTCTTCCAGGGATGGTGGTTTGCCCTGTGGGACTGGAGGTAGGATTGGGAATGCTGGAGCCATCCTGCCTTCCTTTGCTGTGTGACCTTGGGAAAATCACTCTACTTCTCTAAGTCTTGCTACCATCAACTTTAAAATGGAGAGTAAAAGTAAAACCTTCCTCCCAGCAGCACTGTGAAGAGGAACTGAAATAACACAGTGGCATGCTTAGATGGACGCCTGGCACTCAGCAGGCACTCCAGGAAGCTGCTTCCTAGCGCCCCTGAGCCTGCGTTCCACTCAGTACATCGGGCCACTGAGGCTGAGAGCCTGGAGGGACGTGCCAAGGTCCCACAGCCACCACCTCACTCACCCTCCGTGCACGGGCCTGCCCAGCTCTGGTGAGGAGGACATGTGGCAGGGGCAAGGATAGTGCAGGCTCCCATCCGGGGACGAGGCCCCACTCCTGAGCCAGACTGTCCCCACGCCGCCATCCGGATTGCTCCAGCACCCACTTGTTGGAGGCCATCCTGTCCCCGCTTACAAGATGGCTCACAGCAGTCACCGAGCTCAGTTCTGTTCAGCCGACGTTTATTGAGTAACTATTGCATTGCCAGGCACCGGAGTCTAAACCAGGAAGATGCAGCCCTTCTCTGCCCTCCGGGGATGCAGGCCCCCTTCACTGCCTGACTCAGACTTTGAACCCAATCGTTTCTCCATAACTGCCCCGCGGAGGGACTCGGGGCAGGGACTGCCATCCATGTAACAGGAAAGGAAACTGAGGCACAGGAAGGAAATAGCATGTCTGATGCCCGCAGCTGGGGGCAGACACAGGCCAATCCCCAGCTCTCTCTCGGGTCGCAGCAGATGATCAGTGCATCGCGTGCAAAGCGTTCTGGGAGTTTGTGTGGTATGGACGGATGTGGGGGTCCCCCCCAAGGACATGGCTAGACTCTGTTTTCTTCACCCACAAAATAAAGTTAAGTCCTTTCTCAAAGGATTCGTGTGAGGCTTATTATTATATAACTAATAGCAAAACAGAGCAAAATATCACATTGTGCCTCATAAATATAGTTATGATTTGTCAATTAAAATTAAATAATAGTCACTGGGGAGCGAGGCACTGGCTTTCTACATATTCTCTCACTTAATTTTTGCACCAATCAATGGAGTGTGTGCTTCTATCACCGAGAATCCTCATGTTGGCCCAACAGGGTTAAGGGATTTGCCCAACAGCTTGTAGGAGGCAGTGGCAAAGCCTTGGCACACAGTGGGCACTCAGCTCTCCCCACCCCAAACCAAATCCGACACTTCCCAGAAAGCCAGATGGCAGCCTCTTATCATAAAGGGACTAGCACTGCACCCAGCTCCCACACCCAGCTTGTCCCACCCCGTCCCACTCGTGACAGTAGCTGACCTTGGCTAGGCTGTGGCTGTGACACTGGCTGGGCATCTGGAGTCTGGGCAAAGTTTGGTGGTGCGTGGTTTTGCTTTGGGGACTGGCAGGTCCATGCCAGTGCCGACCAGTTGTTAAAACTTCTTGACCCTCACCTTGGCTCTGCTACTTCGCTCTCCTCCTGAAGAACAGCACCCCTCTCCAGCCAGAGCCTCCTCCCCTTCTTGCCCCCTAGAAGCAGCATCCAGCCCACTGCTCAACTACAGCCTGAACACCTGTCAGCTGCACCTGGGCTTCAGGCCTGGACTGCACCTTCTCACCTCTGTGTCTTCCCCCCAGTGACTCTTGGGGCCTCGGTTTCTTCTTCTGTCAGGGTGGCAATTATTCCCGACCTGCATTGTGATGTGTTGTGCAGAGTACATGAGAGGGCTGTGTCACAGGCTCCCATAGTCCTGCACAGAGGGATGCATAGCCCTTATGACCACACCTAGTCTGCTTGGTAGGATTATCACCAGCCTGCTGTCCCACACTGGATCAGGACCCAGGACACTGACTGCTCTAAGGGTCCCTGTAGGCCATGTCATCTGCCTCTAGCTTCCAGTTGACTTCAGGCTGACTGCACCTGCACACATCTCAACCACAGAGACTGCACTGTTTGGCAAGGGGAAGGAGAACAGGAGAGAGCATGCATGTACAGTACATATGTGTGGAGGCCCATGCCAGCTCCCCAGAAGTGACAGTCCCTACAGAGGAGGACACAGGCTCAGGGAGGGCAAGTAACAGAGGTTTTATATAAAAAATAGGAACAGCCACCTCCAGATCTCTCTGGTCCAGGAACAGAAGCTGAGGCAGAAAGCAGAGTGGAAGGAGCACCAGGTTCCTGCTCTGTGAGTCACTGCTGTGTGATCTTGGGAAAACCACTTTCCCTCTCTGATCTCACAATCTTTATCTGTAAAAAGATGGACAGGAATCTGGTGACCTATCTACTTCTTCTGTGATGGACAAATGGACCTTTGGAGGGCAGAAGCAGCCATGGAAATGAGGTGGTGAGAAGTCTGTGCAGGAGAAAGAGTGGGCCCTGGCTTCCCTTCCCTCTGCTTACCAGGCAGAACTTCTCTCCAGGGTGGGATCCAGCTTGAGCTGTTTAGCAATTAAGGAGTATAATAAATATGGCAGCTCATAAACAGCTACCCGCATTTATTATGGACCACATTCCTTGCAGATTTCATCTAATGGGCAGGTTTGTGGAGTGCTGGGCTCCCAGACCAATGCAATAAAAGCAGCCATGTCTCCTGGGAAGAGAATCCCACAGCCTCCAAGGTGAGAGTCAGGTAGATAGATGATGTGAGAGGAGGATGAACGGGGGACACCCGGCCCTGTCTGCCAGTGGAAAGAAGGCATGGTGCCCACCAGAGGACTGAATCCCAGCTCTGCCAGGCTCAGCTAATGGGACAATTCCTGAACTGCAGGCAGCTGAGCCTCGGTCTCTGTAATGGGAGGACAGAAGCCACGCCTTGGTCATCACACCTGGATGATATGAACAGCTAAACATGGCGGGCTTGCCGTGTTCTGAGTGTGTGTGAGGAACATACACAATCTCATCTGATCCTCAGGAAGCCCCAGGAACAAGGTAATGCCGTTCCACTCTGGCTCAGCGAGGCAGAGTCACTTGTCCAAGGTCACACAGCTGAGTGCTGAAGGCAGAATCTGAATCCAGGTCTGTCTTCAACTGGAACGCAATTCTCAATCCTCATTTACCACGAATGCCAATTCCCTTGCACCACTGGGCAGTTCCCCAAAGTGCACACCTGGCTTCTTTCCTCCTATGTCACTTTATGTCCTTCTCTTCAGGGAAAACAGCCTCCTGGGCCACCATCTATCTACTGCCAGGCTGAAGCCGAAAGACCCAAGCCAGCCTGCTCTATCCCCATGTGGGGTTTTTAGAACGCGAGGACACAGTTCCACAGCCAATTGGCCAGACTAGCATGATAGACATACGGGCCCACCAATCGCTGCCTGGATCCAGCTGCTAGCTCCGCCCACCCATAAATTCCCGGGTCTACCCTGAGAAGAAAGGAATGAGAAATCTCTGTAGGGTGGACCTGAGGCCCAGGGGCTTGCTGGTGCTCAAAAAAGACTTTCAAAGCTGGGACTGTAGCTCGGTGGAGCGATCGCCTAGCACCGCTGGCGCACGATGTGAGTTTGTGTTCAATACAAACTCCAGATGGAACTGACTGCTTTGCATAACAAAGCCAGGTGTTTAGGGCTTCCGGGACACTTGTATTTGCCATGACCGTTCGTGTATGCCTGTGCTTAGAATCTGACCCTAGCACAACTTATGTCACCAGCGTATCAATAAAAGACGTTCTTGGTCGTGAAAGAATTGGGAAGCACAGATGTGGCCAACACCTGAATTTGGAAATAAGAAAAGAGACTGAGAGTGGGGAGGGGACTTGACCAAGTCACAAAGCCAGTTAGGGATGGATCTGAGCCCAGCAGCGCGGCCTGGCACCCATCCGACACACCATACACTCCAGGGACTGCGTGTTTATTTTGGTGGCACACATATTCCTTTAGGGGAACGTGTGCTGCATAAAAGCACAGCCTTGTCTTATTCAGCAGTATTCCCAGTGTCTAGAGCAGGACGGCACTTAGTGGGTCTTCAGTTAACATCACTGAATGAATGGATGAATGCATAGTAGGAAAATACAAAATATGACAGAACAGTGGAGTCAGCAAGCCAGAAAAATAAAGACAAGTCAACAAGGGAGAGAAAAACTGAAAGAGACAGAGGCAGAGCAAGAGAAAGACAGACTGACACCAGATCAGAGGGGGAAGGGACTGAGAGATGGGGCAGAAGTGTACAGAGGAGAGCAGCTGGCCATGTGTCACCTGGGCAGTTCTTCAGGAGTCAGCAGGACAGAGGCTTCCAGTCAGAGGGTCTCCTGTGCAGGACCCAGCTTATCCTGTAGGAGAAAGTATTCCATTGCTGTGGGAAGTTGGCAAGGAGTGGCCTGTGGCCTAGGAAAACTGTCCTCCTGATAAGCACACTGGGGTGCATTGGGGCTGATGAAAAGGTCCTGGCACCTAGGGACTGGCCAGCTGTGGAGGCCGTACCAGGCCACCTCCTGTCTTCCATATTTTTTTGGCATAGGATTTGCCAGAGGTTCCTTTAGAGAGGCAACTACCAGCATTGGAAATGAGGTTTGATTTTGGAAGTCACACAAACCCACATGGAATGTCTTGTTCCATCACATCTGTGGGGAATTCCACCACCCAGACCCACTCACACACTGTGTTGAAAGATAGACTCAGGGACAGTGACCCTCTGGTCAGGGGAACTTGGGCTGTGGTTCCTTCCCATGGGGATGAGGGGACATTCCCAGGTCTCAAGACACCTGTTTGAATTGTCTCCCAAGTGAAAGCCCACCTGGGGTCGGGGTGGTGGGTGAAAGATTCCTCTCCCTTCCTTTCCATTTTCCCTCCCTCC